TGGGCAGTATCTTTCTTAAGGTAAAGGTAAAGGTACCCCTGCCCGTACGGGCCAGTCTTGCCAGACTCTAGGGTTGTGCACCCATCTCACTCTATAGGCCGGAGGCCAGCGCTGTCCGCAGACACTTCTGGGTCACGTGGTCAGCGTGACAAGCTGCACCTGGTGAGCCAGCGCAGCACACGGAACGCCGTTTACCTTCCCGCTAGTAAGCGGTCCCTATTTATCTACTTGCACCCGGGGGTGCTTTCGAACTGCTAGGTTGGCAGGCGCTGGGACCGAACAACGGGAGCGCACCCCGCCGCGGGGATTCGAACCGCCGACCTTTCGATCGGCAAGTCCTAGGCGCTGAGGCTTTAACCCACAGCGCCACCCGCGTCCCCTGAGTATCTTTCTTAGGGAAATTAAAATGTCACAAAATAGGGAGCCATCCTTTGGGTTCTCCAGAACTCTTCACCAGGCTCAGTGTAGAGGGGGAAAGCTGGCTGATGTTGAAGACAGGGAGCCTGCCTTTGGTCACGGTCTGAAGATTGAATGTGAGAGGCAACAGACAGTTGCCTTACTAGGTGCTACGCAGGTTTCAGGTGGCACATAAGACTGCTCCAAGGATGAAGAAACATACCATTGCAGTGGTGTAGCGGAGGGGCACTGTGGCCCCCGGCACATATTGAATGAATGAATCTTTATTTGCATCAGCCACCAGCCATAATAGTAATAAAACAAGCAAAATGCAGCACACAGAGGATAAAGGTAAAGTCAATTATATAAAATACATTTTGGGGGTTTGGATCAATAGTCAAATAATGGATCTTATTCTAATTGCCCCGGTTAAAAACTTTGCAACCTTTGCTGTCACCTGCTCATCTTGCTGTAACACTGGTTGGGCGACCCGGAATGGACAATAATAGAGGGGTGATAACCTCACTCCTCAAATCTTTAAATAGAGTGCAAGCCAGAAGGACATGATCCACCGATTCAGTACTGCCATCTCCACAGGCACATAACCATTTTTCGAGTGGAATTTTTTGGAATTGTCCCTCAAGTACAGCTGAAGGCAGTATTTTCAATCTTGCGAGAATAAAAGCGCGTCTATATTTTGGAATTACTAAGTTATACAAATAGGGAAATAAGTTATACAAATAAGGAAATTTTGCCCATGGTATGACTATTTCCCACCTAGTCATCTTGACTCTCTGGCACCCCGGGCACATATTTTGAGGGGGCACAAATAGGTGCCCCCATAACAGGCTCCCTCATTGGAGCCTTGCTTCAGTGTGTGAGCGAGCTGCAGAGGCAGCTTCCTTGTGTGATGGCCCAATGCCGCCAGCCGCAGCTCCACCCTCGGGTCAAACCTGAGCCGGGCACAGAGAGAGGAGAGCTGGCAGCAGCTTCCCTGCCTCTCTCCTTGCCTGGGCCAAAGCACGCAAGTGTGTCCCCTATGCTGCTTTGCAAGGCAAGCCACAGAAGACTCACTCTGTGCCCTGCCTCCCTTGGGGGCACATCCCACATGCCTGCCCCAGGCAGCGTTAGCATACGCTCCACCACTGCAGTGTCACATGCCACCCCAATCTCTGAACATTGCAAAATTCCAGAGGTTCCAGGTGCTCATCCAGGGTTTGTGTTTCCTTTTAGGAATGTGGCACCCTTAAGACCTGCTCTTAAGGGGCATGTAGAAACACCACAAATCTACAAGATCTGCACATCGTCAATTTTTTATTATAAAACTACATTTTATAATTATAATTTAACCACATAAATCTCTTCACAGCTCCCAGGCACTGATTGAGCCCCAAGATCAATGTGTTTGAGTCAGATGAGAAGGAGCAGAGCCAGGTGCCAACATTGTACTGACCACATCTCAGCCCACATCCCCTTACAATCTCAGACAGCGGTTTCCTGTAGATGTCAAACAGCACAAGGAAAAGCCACAATCATGGGCTGAATAGAAATCCCCTAGCACCACCTTCTGGAATCTAGCATAGCATACTGTGTATCATTATGACTTCGGTGTATTGTATTGTATTGTATTGTATTGTACCTCCTCCTCCTTTCAAGGAATATATAGCAGCTTTGGATGGACACATACAAAAATGGCACAGGGAAAAGGGTTAAACCCTTCTTCCTTAGTTGTGCAATCCTAATCTAAATATCTCCCTTGCTATTGACTCTTTTAAAAAATGTGGAAAATCCCACTTATGCATTTCCTGTATCATGTCTTGTTTAGGCCTTGGGATAGATCATTTTACTCAGGTACTATCTCTGTTGTCACGGGGTCACCTCATGTTCATGTAGGGATAGATTACTGCAGCTGTCATCATGCTGTATACCCCAGCCTCCACTGAGGGACCTGGGGAATGACACCATACAGTAATATATTATGTCCCTCCTCTGCAGATCCTTGCCTTCTCTCTACCCAGTTTCTTTCCCTATAATAATAGTAATAAATTTTTATTTATATCCCGCCCTCCCCAGCCGAAGCCGGGCTCAGAGCAGCTAACAACAATAAAAGTAACACAACATTATAAAATCAATTCATTCTAAAATCAATTCAAATCAAATTAATGGCAACCATTGAGCCTCTTATCTAATACAAGCATATTTCTGTCACCTTTAGTGTGATAAAGAGGCAGAATGAAAGACTAACCTGAAGCCTCCCCATCTAGCCTACAGCATCCCCTCCGCCTCTTCCCAACTTTAATTAGGCAGCTGGAGCAATGGCAGGTATAGTAGAGGAAATTGGGAGATTCCCTTACCGGTTTGGCCACCCCAAAGATGGTCCTTATATAGCTGTTAAATTTCATGTAAATCTGGAGGCCTCAGAATAGAATATGAGCAGCATGTGCTCAGACAGCCCCTGGGGCACCCGGCCCACCAATGCTCCTTGCCTGCCCCCCACCAGTTGTTCATTTCTTTTTTAATGGGTCTTTTCAGGGTGGTTTTCTTCTCTTCCCTTTCTTCCCTTCTCCACCCCAATTCCTTCCTTCCTTTGTAAAGTTAAGTAGGTAATCATCCCATTGCTGTACAGTCTCAACCTCTAGAGGGCATGCACACAATGCTTTTTCTTTCCTCTATAGAAGTGAATAGCAATGAGTCCGTATTTATGTGAAATGCTTCCACTTAAATTGTCTCTAATATTAGCCTATTTTCCCCAAACAGGGAGCTGCAGCTCAAGACAGGAAAAAAGGTGGTAAGGGAAAACCAAGCTACTTTAAATGAATTCAAATATTGAGGGCCTGATGAGCTGCACCCAGGGAACAAAGCGAGCTTGCACCCATCTGTCATGGATGATTTAGTTGAGATTCCTGCATTGCAGGGAGTTGGACACAAGATGACCCTCGGGGTCCCTTCCAATTATACAATTCTATGATTCTATGTACTAATCTCAGAGCCTCCTGTCTATAATCTTTGACATCTTTTTGAGGTGGGTAAATGCTGTCCACCAAAGAGTTCCTCATCACATATCCTCCAACACTCCTCCGATGAAAATAGGGACATCCCATTTCATAAGAATATTTTATTATTTATATATACTCCACACATCTTACTGAGTTGCCCAGCCACTCTGGGCAGCTTCCAACTGTATAAAAACATAATAAAACATTAAACATTAAAAAAACTTCCCTATACAGACGGCTCGGAGTGTCGAATAATTCCATACCCTCCAACATTTCTCCAATGAAAATAGGGACATCTTAAGGAAAAGTGGGAGATTGCGGGATCAAATCAGAAACCGGGACAGCTTCTCTAATTCAGGGACGTCCCTGGAAAATAGGGATGCTTAGAGGGTCTGTCATCATCCTGAAAAAACATGGCATGTGGGATGTCACAGGGTTCTATGCTGGCCCCTGCTGATGTCAAATGCTTGCGCTAGTGGGCGTGCTGACACCAGACCATGCCTGCCACGTGCACGGTCGCAGCATGAAAATTTGTGGGTGCCCGGCCCCTTCATGGGGCATGTGGTGGGGGCTGGGTGCCCCCCCATAGTACCTATGCCCCCTAATATTTTTTCTTTCAGAAATTTGACAAAGCTTGCCCCCTCATCAGATGATGTCCCCCTATTTTTTTGCCCTGGCCTGAATGTATTGCTGTACAATACTGCCTGTGTATGAAGGGTCATGTATTTCAGCTCTGGGTAGCAAAGCACAGACAGATCTATAAATGCATAGTGTGGCAAATTCCAGAAGGGCCATGCGGTTCGGCTGCAGTAGACTGTAATGGGTTGATTTGAAGTTATTTCAGCACCAGTGGCGGGGGGGGGGGGAATCGTCCCCCAACCCTCCTGCCATCGCCATCGCCTCCGCCTGCCGCCCTCCTGATCCTATATTTTGCCAGGTCAAAGGATACGAGTGAATCCGCCCGTTTCGATTTATCTTAGTTTCTGTTTCCCAGCCTTAAATTCAGCTCCTCGCATTTCCACGTCAGTTTTCGATTTTGACTTCATGAAAATTCTGGGAGTTGCCACTTTCTGAGGAGAGACAGTGCGTTTTTTGAGAGGCGAATACGCTTCGCATGTGCTTTAAAGGCAGCGCCTTTTATAATTTTATCCGAAGGGAAAGCGGGCCTTGTATATACGTGGCACTCATGCATTAGCCTGACTCGCCAGTCGGCGCTGAAGCGAAGTTGCCACGGCAACAAGCAGCCGGCGGCGGGTGAGACGCTGTCACGGCGGAAGCCGAGCTGACCCATTGAGCCGGGGGGCGGGAAAGTAGGAGTGACAGACAGCTTGAGCCTCCACTGAGAGCCGAGAGCTGGGATTGACAGTCGCGTCAAGTGGACGCAGAGGGACGTTACCCCGACCTTTGACCCTGGAGGCGAGGGCGGGAAAAGTCGACTGCTGTAAATGCCGGAGCTCTGATTGTAACCAGCGCCTTGTCGGCCACCGTAGCAATCGCGGCCTTAAACCGCACGGCGATCTGGAGGAGGGGTTGGGAAAGGAGCTGGCTCGGCCTGCGGTTGGTTGAGCTCAGGCTCCGCCCACTTACTCGTGGAGCCCCTCAGGAAGGTGCGGTGGGGAGGGGGGGAGGGAGGCAGGGAGAAAGAGAAGGCGCGCGCGCGTGGCCGAGCCTCGCTTCAGCGGACCATGGCGCCCAGCGGCGATGTAATGGGGGCGGCCGAAGACCTGGCCGATCAGGTGAGTTCCTCCCCTCCCTTCCTCGGATGGAATTCCGCGGCCGGCCGAATGAGCCGCGTGCTGGGGGGCCGTACCATCTTTCCCTGAGAGGAGGGGAGGGCGAGCTGGAGGAAGGTACCATTTCCCTCGCTTCTTTATTCCCTTCCCGTTCGCCTGCCTTTCGCGGGCGGGGAGATGGCGGCGGCGGTGAGGGGGAGAAGCGCCATCTGTGGAAGGCCCGCTCTGCTGGCGAGGGGCGCGGAGGGCAGAGGCCGGGTCCCGCGGAGGCCAGGGCAGAGCGACGGCGCTTCGGCCCGAGGGAGGGGCGTCCTCCTGAGAGAAGGAGGCCGGCAGCCCTGTGAGCCGCTTGCCTCCTTTTTCGGAAGGAACTTTTCCTCAGGTGCGGCCGCTTTCGCTTCTCCTCGCTGGTCCGGTCCTGCCGTGAGGCAGCGCGAGGCAGCTGCCTCAGGTGGCAAATTCCGAGGGGCTGGAAAGCCTGCCTAGGGGCCTGCCCTGAAGCCCCTTAAGTTAGGTTGCTGCCGTAGCATGGCCCACGCACGAGTGAGGTGACCTGGGCCTGCATCTGGGGGGGGGGGTGAGAAGCTCGTGTGGCTGGTCTTGCCAAAAGGTATCCCGCCGGGCATGATCTGGAGCCTAAGGCATGAGGGGGCGGATGGGCGAATTGACTCTGGGTGGGGAAACTAAAAGGATTGGATTGGTTGGTTGGTTGCGTTTACTTATATGCCACTTTCCCCCCACAAAGAGCTGAGCAAACATTCCAAAAATTTGCCAAATAAAGAGCATGCCAGTTATTCAGAAATGACAACAGAATATATCCGGTATTGCGAAATAACCACAAGTGAGGCTTAAAGATAAAGTGAAATGAGTTAACTGACAATGAAGTTGTCTTCCTGTCCTCAAGGAGCCTGGCTTAAAATGCAGTTTACAGGGAAAAGGGTCCTCTCTTCAGGCTAGGTGTCATACAACTGGCCCCCATATCCTTACTCCAGAGGAGGCTGGCAGCAGCAAAAGGCTGATGCTGGGATAGGCCATGACGATCAATCGTTCCCCCAGCCTCCTGGAAGTACCAAGAGCTGGTGCAAAGTTGGCTTCATGCTGCACCAGCCCTGTGTGACATGGTTTTTGTTTATCAAGGATGTGGAATCTAATCCTTGTTGAATTCCAACCACTTTTGGCCACAGCCAGCGTGGTGAGGGGTGGTAGAAGATCATAGCACCACAGAATTGTAGAGCTGGAAGGGACCCCAAGGGTCATTTAGTCCAACTCCCTGCAATGCAGGAATCTCAACTAAATCTAACCTACCCAACCTCTGCTTAAAAACCTCCCAGGAAGGAGAGTCCACCACCTCCCTAGGGAGTCCATTCCACTGTTGAAACAGGTCTTACTGTCACAAAGTTCTTCCTGATGTTTAGTCAGAATCTCTTTTCTTGTAACTTGAAGTGATTGGTCCAGGTCCTAGCTTCTGGAGCATGAGAAAACAAGTTTGCTCTATCCTAGCCATTTAGGTATTTGAAGATAATAATAATAATAATAAATTTTATTTATATCCCGCCCTCCCCAGCCGAAGCTGGGCTCAGGGCGGCTAACAACAATCAAGATGGCTGTTTTACCTCCTCTGAATCTCCTCTTTACCAGGTTAAACATACACAGTTCCCTTAAACATTCCTAATCAGACTTGGATTCCATATCATATTGGTTGCCCTTCTCTGCACACGTTCCAGCTTGTCAACCTCCTTAAATTGTGCCCAGACAGAAACTTAATAAAAGCTAAAGCCAAATGGCACCTTAAACCTAGGTCACGGCCACCACAGTTGCGGGGGTTGGACAAGATGTCTCTCAGATCCCTTCCAATGCTACAATTCTTTAATTCTATCATCTCAACTATATGTAGTTTGCTCTTATTCATTTGCCCAGTATGCAAGGAGACACAGTTGAAATGGAAATAGTATTAACAATGGAGTAAGGTTTTTAAACTGTAGTTCGTGAGTTCCATTTAGGTGGCCTGTGGAAAGTCTGCCTTGCACTTACTTTATTTGATGTGATGATGGAGGACTCTGTTCGAATCAGCTGGCTTGATGGAGATGTCAGTTACCAAAATGGTGCCCAGAAATCTCAATGTGGTTGCAATTGGACCTGCACCAGTAGCAAAACACACATGGAGAAATTTAGATACTGGAAACAGTACTTCCCCGGTGGTCTAACCAAGGCAGAATAGAGCAGTGCTATTGCTTCCCTTGATCTGGACACTATACTACTTTTGATGTATCACAACATTGACTCATGTTAAGCTTGTGGCCCAACAACATAGGAAAAGCCACAAGTTCCACATTTAACTGTATAGTGACATTACTGGTGTGGAATCCAACTAGGTGGAAGTGATTTCAGCACTGATTTGGCCACCAGGAACAACACTTAAGTGTTGTGGTTATTTTCATACATCAAATAATTGTGCATAATATACCTACATAAAGTTGGCCATTGTACTTTGTCCACAGCTGCAATTAAAATAAGTACTGGAGAGTAAAACAATGCATATGTAGGCTTAGAATGGGTTTCTGATTTGTGTCAATGATTGTGTCCATTGAGCTATGCAAAGTGAAGACAATTCTTCCAGGTTAATCTGGAATGAAAAGGTGTGATTATGTGTGTGCACTCTTACATTAAATGGGATTTATCAACTCTTTGCCATCAAGTGCATTTTTAAATATGTTATTAAAGAGCTTCCTTGTACATCTACAGGTTATAACATAATACCTGTTTTTTTCTTAACCTTTTTGGCAATTTCAACCAGTCACATGGTATGCAATGCAGGTCCATTAGTCAGCCGAAATGAACAAAACGTTTTTTATTTTTGTTGCCTTGGCTATCTTTGTGCCTTGATTATCTTTCTGGCAGTCAGGGCATTTTGGATAAGTGGATTTAATTTTTGCATGATACATTTAGGTATATAATGCAGACAACATTATATTGGTGAAAAACAGGTTTATCAGTGTCCTGTGTATTTGTAATTGAAAGTTGTTCCCATGTTCAGTATATCATATTCCTGTACAAATTCATAGGATTGCAGCCTTGCGGCCCATTCTGATCATGAGTTTTATCCACTTGTAAACGGCAACATAATTTGTTACATTATTATGTAATTACATTATTATTTGTTTACATTATTATGTATTATTATTACATCAAGTTTGTAAACTCAGTTGCATGTAATTGGAATGGTAAGCATAAATGTGTGACGTGTACCAAGGCAGAATGGGTGGGCCTCATTGAGGGCAACTTCTTGAAGTTACAAGTTGCCTGAGGAATATGAAGTGACTTGCACTTCTTGTTCTCCACATAAAGCAACACCAGAAGTTGCTCTTAAGACTGTGAACTTTATATCACTTAGAACTGGTAATGAAAAGAAAACTTCATCAATTAATCATAATTTTTAATTAAAATAAGTATTCACCAATCATATGGTGTTTTATTAAATCAGTTAAATCTGCATATGTTCTTCATTTGAACAAACAAAAGTTCGAGAATGGGAAGGGAAGGTTACTTAGTAACCTTAGTTGATAAATTAGTCTATTTGTGTCCTGTCTGGTTCCATCTTAGGAGAAGCATTCCTTCTTATGTGAGAGATGCCTCTTCTAAAGTGGTGCCTACCATGCACCGTTTTTATTAAGGACTTGAGTGAAAAATAATTAAAAAATTCACCACTAACTTGCCTTTTTAATCAGAGTACATGTTGAAATCAATTAAAAGTCTTTTCATTCATCAAAACAATTAAGTGTTGGCAGCTGTAGCCTTGTGCTTGCTTACCTGGGAGTAAAGCCGTTTGAATTCAGTAGTTGAATTCTAAATTAGTATGCATAAGATTGCAATTTAAATGATGCAGCCCTACTATTGCTTCCTTTATTGTTGAAGTCTGCAGGGCCATGGGGGTAGGAGAGGGTCTCTAACAAGACTAATGATCCTTGCATAAAAATAGTGGGGCCAGTTTTGTGCTCGTATGCTAACCTCATGCTGCCATGGAATGTGCTATACTGTCTGGGGCTCATCAACTGTTGAAGAGGCAGTTCTTTTCCTCACACAAAAGATCCAAGGGTGGTAGTAGATTGGATTTGTAGAATAGAATCATGTGAAGCGTGTTCTCTGATCCCAGCCCAGTGGCGTAGCGTGGGTTGTCAGCACCCGGGGCAAGGCAAGTAATTTGCGCCCCCTAACCCGTGGATTTGCGCCCCCTAACCCGTGGATTTGCGCCCCCTAACCCGTGGATTTGCGCCCCCTAACCCGTGGATTTGCGCCCCCTAACCCGTGGATTTGCACCCCCTAACCCTAACCCCCAGATGTTGCGGCCGGCCCCCCCTGCCCCCCCACGCTACGCCACTGTCCCAGCCCTCTACCATGTAAGGATCATTTGTGGACAGTGAAGGGAGCTGCTGCTTTACCACTGAAATAAAAAAGTAGGAATTGGGCTTGGATACACTTTTTTCTGCATCCACTATTGCTTCCACTGTAAATTTGCATGGATCAATATTATTATTATTATATCCCTTTAGGGCTCGCAATTTTGAATGACACCGGGTGTAATCAGTGTTGTGGATGCAAAGTTCAGTTCACACAGCAAATCTTCCCTTTCCTCTCCTCTTGGGGCACCTCAAAATCTTTTCTGCAGGGTTCTGCTACTCTTTGGAGGAAATTATGAGGGTCATGGTACCCTGCAGACAACAGTTATGCTACCAGCTTGTTGCTGTAGTCGTTGTTCACAATCTCCATGGTGCTTCTCAGTTTGCATTTATTATTTACCCTCACAACAACTCTATGAGGGAAGTTAGGAGGAAGATAAATATTAGTTTCAAATTTACCACCTAGTTTTATTATGGTCAAATGAGCCTCCCATGACATGGGAATACATTGTTTGCTTTCTAGGCCTGTAAAGATAGTGAGATCTTAATGCAGAGAGGAATCACAGAGCGAGCAACAGCACCCAAGAAGTAGCCAAAGCAGAATGAAGGTGCTTGGAATTTACATGTATAATTAATTGATTGTAGAGTTTTATTCCATGTTACGGATCTCCAAAAATATTTCTGTTTTGTGCGCATGAGTTTTCTTTGGCTTTCTTGGAGGAGAATTTCTAACACTGGGAAAACAGTATGTGGTTCATTGGCTGGATTGGGAAACAACAATCTATTGGCTTTTCTACAAGGGGACAGACAAGATAGGCCATGTTTATGAGAATAATATGGGCCTGGGGTTTTATAGCACAGATTAGACAAGCACACTTCTTCTATTCAGCCAGGAAGCATTGAGCTGGGGAAATAGTGTGGAAAGTGAAAATTAAGTGGTCTGATAATTAATTATCCCAATCATAGTCTAGAAAGGAACATAAAGGTTCTCTAGAGAAGAAGTTTCAAACTTCCCTGAAGGGTACATTTGTGCTCAGTTGCGCCCAATACTGGGGGGCCCATCACACGTGCATGATATCACACTCACAATGCCCCCAACCCGGTCAGGCTGACTCGGCCTGCCATCCCCCCATCCTCAACCAGCCACCTTACCTTTGTGAAAGGGGCATGTGGGGCGAAGTTTCGCTCTGACGCTTCCCTGGCGACCCTCAGAAGGACGTGGCATGGCCAAGCATTTTGTCCTGGTGCGTCCTTTTAAGGATTGCTGTGGAATGGGGGTTGGTGGGCGGTCCCCTTGAAAATATTGGGGGCTGGCCGGCCCCACAGCCCCCTATAGATGGCGCTCCTGACGCAGGCGGTCTGTGGAATTATGCAGAACAGTTTGGGATATCTGTATTTGCCCTGCATTAGATTTCCTCCCCTGCCCCCCAATAACCTAGCCAAAGGCGATTTTGATTCGAGGCTGAACAGGTTAACAAGGCCCTGGCCTAGGTCCCATGATTTTCATTATATATGAGACACTCCTTTGTTACTTAAGACAGATGGATGCCAACATCAACAGGAACTGGTTTTGCTGTTGCTGGTGATGAAGGGGGGAAAGTTTATTAAGTAGTCCATCAAGGCCACTAGCCATTTTAAGTTATCTTTGCAAAAAAGAAAAAGTTTACAAACTGCTGCTTGAGAGGAATTTTGTGTGTGATAGGGGAGCTGGGGAGCAGAGAAAATAAATAAGTCGGGAGCCACTACGTCTTCAAACAGATAGATTTAGCATTTGGATTTACCGTGAGCAGCAGAATCTATATTGTTGTTTTGTCTCCTGATATGAGGGGAAATGATAAGTAGTACCAGACTCAGACTCTGTAAGAGATTAGTTTCACTTGTCTACATGTTTCATTCAGGAGCAGGTCTGAAATCGAAAGTGTTTGGAGTGACCTACACTTGACCAGTACACCAAGTTATAACATCAGTAGCTTGTTTTTGCATGTATAAATTGGCCTTCCAGATGTTGAACATATGTAGTATATATTTGCCACCTTGTGGAGCAGAAGAACCCAGAGATCATTTGGACAAAGTTGGTATTAAGTCTAGGCAAGGCTGACCTTCATTTCTGTAGCCATTTAGGGCCACTGTCCTGTCTCTCATGTTGCATTTCTTTCACTCCAGTTCTTGCGTGTGACAAAGCACTACCTACCTCATCTGGCTCACCTCTGCCTGATTAGCACCTTCTTGGAGGATGGCATCAGGATGTGGTTCCAGTGGAATGAGCAACGAGACTACATCAACATGTCGTGGGGAAGCGGTGCACTCTTAGCCACACTTTTTGTATTAATCAACATGTGTGGGCAGCTAGGTAAGGGCTTCTTCCTTTGGCGACTGGGTGGAGAATGACTGGCACAGATCTGGTATCCTCCATAGGTCTTGCTGCCAAAGGTGGGACACAAGTACATGTTTGCATTCTTTCTAGAACTTTCAGGGAGTGATTTGTCTTGAGGGCCAAATTTAGAATGCAGACTAGGGACTAGGTTTCATGTTTACATCAAACAGCATTAGTTTTCATAAAATTTGTCAAAGCCCTGATCTTTGAAACTAGACACACTAAGATAGTATAGTAACCTCAAATGTTTACAGCTCCAGAATAAAAAAAATAAAACCTAACAGTTTAAACTAAAAAGGCTGGGCAAATATAAAGATCCACCCAGTGCCAGAGACGCTTCCTTGTGGAAAGTATTCCAACCCAGGCACCACAGCAGAGTAGCATTCTCCATCTGCCTCACTTCAGAAGACAGGAATTCAGGAATTGTCCTCCAAAGAAGATCTTAATATTTGGGCATGCTCATGCAGAATAAGGTGGTTCATGGCTTCTTTACTTACGTTAACAGTAAATAACTGTAATCTTAAAACACAGAGCAGCCAACTACTATAATAGTAACTTGGAAAATTAACAGTTTATAAACGCCTGAGAAAATTACCAGGTCTTAACCTGGAACCAGAATGGCACCAGACGGACCAAAGAGGGAAGCGTATTGCACAATCCGGGTTCCCCCATTCTTCATTTAAAGCTGCTTCAGGACAAGTGTAGAAAATGGGCATGTGGAAAACACTTTCTGTATTTTGTTTCCTTGTTGCAATTCTTCTGTTGTCCCTGAAACACCTCTCTTGTTCTTTTAGCTGGGTGTGTGCTTGTTCTCGCCAGAAAGTTTGTCCCTTACGCATGCTTTGGCCTGTTTGGAATTGTTTTCATGCAGGTGAGTTGAAAGTGTAAGGAACAAGATCTAGATCCCAGAGTGAAAAGATATGCTCAGATCCAGTCAAGCTGCTTCGGCGTAGGAGGATCATGTTTTCATTTCTTTACAATTATTTACATGCTTCCTTTCCTTCCTAGAGTTCAGATCAACAAACACTATAAAATGTAAACAGAATAGAAAGCAGTAAAATTCACAGCAGTCTAAATAAGCAGGAGGTTTGATTAAACAGAAAGGTTGTATCTGCCCTCCAAAACAGAAGTAGTGATGGAGCCATATAGGAATAAAATGTTAAGGTTTGAGGTATATTGAAATTATATAAAGTTCTGTATTTATTGCCGAATATCAATTGTAAAAGACTTTGAATGGTAGCAATTCAATGCTTATTGCCAATAAGCTTCAATAAAACAATGCTCATTAACTATAAAAACGATGCTTATTAACTACCGTATTTTTCGCACTATAGGACGCACTTTTCCCCCTCCAAAAATGAAGGGGAAATGTGTGTGCGTCCTATGGTGCGAATGCAGGCTTTTGCTGAAGCCTGGAGAGCGAGAGGGGTCCGTGCGCACCGACCCCTCTCGCTCTCCAGGCTTCAGGAAGCTATCCCAAGTCTTGCAAGCCCGGCGGGATGTCCCGCGGGCTCGCAAGGCTTGCGGGCAGCAGCCTGCACCCAAAAGCTGGGGACAGCGGGGAGGCGCAGAGCCGCCACCCCGCTATTCCCCGACCTGATCTGGAGGCTGGCGGGGGGAGAAGCAAGCCTGCTTCTCCCCCCCCCCAGCCCCACAAGCTCGGGGGATAGGGGGATGGCGAAGCGCCGCCATCCCGCTATTCCCCGACCTGATCTGGAGGCTGGGGGTGGGAGAAGCAAGCCTGCTTCTCCCCCCCCCCAGCCCCACAACCTCCAGATCAGGTCGGGAAATAGCGGGATGGCGGCGCTCCGCCACCCCGCTATTCCCCGACCTGATCTGGAGGCTGGGGGTGGGAGAAGCAAGCCTGCTTCTCCCCCCCACCAGCCCCACAACCTCCAGGCTTCAGGAGAGCCCCACCGCCAGCCCCACAAGCTCGGGGGACAGCGGGAGAGGCGCAGCGCGCCCTTCCCGCTGTCCCCCGACTTGGCTAGAAGGCTGGCGGGGGGAGAAGCCTGCTCCTCCCCGTCGCCAGCCCCGCAAACTCGGGGGACAGCGGGAGAGGCGCAGCGCGCCTTTGCCGCTGTCCCCCGACTTGTCTAGAAGGCTGGCGGGGGGAGAAGCCTGCTCCTCCCCGTCGCCAGCCCCGCAAACTCGGGAGACAGCGGCAGGGGCGCAGCGCGCCCTTCCCGCTGTCCCCCGACTTGGTTAGAAGGCTGGCCCAGCCCCGCAAACTCGGGGGACAGCGGGAGAGGCGCAGCGCGCCATCCCGCTGTCTCCCGACATGGTTTGGAGGCTGGCGGAAGGCTTCCTCCTCCCCCAGCCCCGCAAGCTCCCAGAGCGATGCCAAAGCTGCGCGCAGCTTCGGCATGGCTCTGGGTCCCGTTCTGGGGGAGGGGGAAGCTCGGGCTTCCCCGCCCCAGCCCCGCGCCTGGCGGGGGGGGGGAATAAATTTTTTTTGCCTTTATTTCCCCCCCCAAATCTAGGTGCGTCCTATGGACCGGTGCGTCCAATAGTCCGAAAAATAGGGTATATTTTTAGTCTTAAATTATCAAACATGTTTTGACCCAATATTCTTCCTCGATGGCTTCTCTTTGCAAAACATTTTTTTCATCTTTAAGGCAAAATACAGAATTCCATGAGTCCAGTGCAGCATTTGGCAAGTCTTGAGCTCGTGAGCAAGTTGTTCAAAAGTATTATTCTACTTTCTGGTTGTTTTCAGCAAAGTAGGTGTGCCAAGTCTAGGAGATTGATTGTGATACGTACTTTCCTGGCGTATAGTCTACTTCATTAGATGCCTAAAGTGTTATCCTACTTGATATAATATGCAAAAAGAAAAAAATAAATATGAACAAAAGGACAGCAGTAATTGTCCAGTATTTCTTTGCAAAGTTCAGTTGCATAGAATAGGGGTAGCTGACCTGCAGCACTTCGAATGTTGATGGACTTCAAACTCCCATTAGCCACAGCCAACTTTTCCAGTAGTCTGGGTGATAGGGGTTGTTGTCCAGCAACATTTGGAGAGTCACAGGTTAGTCTCCCCTAGTTTACAAGATAAGAAGAGACTGATCTAGTCACAACAGCAACCACAGACTAGAAAGATAGTATTGTCATTGTGAATGGACTACTCTCTTCTTAGCTTGTACACATTTGAGCTATGCCTGGAACAGGGAAATGTCTTCTGCTATTTCTTGAATTCAATTATTCCCTGGCCTCAGTGTTTGCAAACCTCTTATCTCTGTACCTGTGTGTGTACACATCTGGTGCAGGACTCTTCATATTTCTGATAAAATGAGCAATAGTCCACAAAAGTTTCTGCGCCAATAAATCCCAGTCTTTAAGGTGGCTGAAGACTCTTCGTTGTTTCAGCAGACCAACACTCAGCTACCACTCTCATTGTACATTAGTGATAATTTATTGTACTACACTAAGAACATAAGAAGAGCCCTGCTGGATCAGGGCAAGGGTCCATCTGGTCCAGCATCTTGTTCTCACAGTGCAGAAGCAGAACCTGAGCATAGCAGCGCTCTGCCCACCTGTGATTCCCAGCATCCAGTATTCAGAGGCACACGGACTGACAGTGGAGGCAGAACATGGACATTGTGGCTAGTCGCCAGTGATAGCCTTATACTCCATGAATTTGTCCAGTCCTCTTTTAAAGCACTCCAAATTGATGGCCATCACTACCTTGGGTGGGGTGGGGGGTTAGTTTAACTGCACTGTGTGAAGAAACAACTTCTTTTGTCTGTCCTAAATCTTCCAACATTGGATTTCCCCAATATGTGAAATATAGAATTATTTGCCCCAATGTGCATCATTTTTCACTTGCTTACATTAAATTGCATTCCTCATTTTAATGCCTATTTGCACACTTTTGAGAATCTTCCTGAAAACTAAGTGTACATTAGTCTCACACACCAGCTCCCAATGAAAGGCGGCTCCTACCCCCAAAGCTGTTTTCTAGGAACTCTCAACAACTGTTCATGGCTGCTGCCAAGGAAATCATTCCTATCCCAGGAAATCTGGAGATTATGTAGAGCCCTTGAGCTAAACTAATGGTGGTGTCCTCATCACTACCTATTGCTTTCTTGTTTTTCAGACAATTGCCTACAGTATTTTATGGGACCTCAAGTTCTTGATGAGGTGAGTTAAAACCAGAAGGCATGTTGTGTTGTAACTCCACAGAGGATTCATGATGGGGTATTTTGATGTTCTTCACCTTTTGTATGGGAAATGTTTCTCTCATTCTCTCACACCCACATACCTTCATGTATGCTTATACAAGTTAGAGAGGGTTGACTCGTGTGCCTAAGAAGAGGCTGGTTGCTAGTTTGATGGTGGAAACAAGTTGCTTATAAAGGGGGAAAGGAAGCTGTATTGCACATAATCCCACCTCTAAGATTACCGGCCACTGATGCTGTGCTCAGCAACATAGTGCAACTTGATAATGTCATGGTGACCACCCGCATTATAGGCAGTCCCTTTCATGAGCATAGAACTGTGCTCTGTCTCAAGCTCCTTTCACTCAGAACTCTCACAGTGTTGTCACCAGTCCCTGTAGATTGAAAAAGTGACCATAGTAATTCTTGTATAAAGACAAAAAGCATACAGGGTCTGCAAGTGGCCTCCTCTAGCTGCCCCTCCTTAAGTGCTTGGCAGGCTGGAAGAGGTTTCTCTTCATAAAAAAATAATCCAAAGAGAGGTCCTTGTTCCTTATTGCATAAAGATGCTGTCTTGATTGTGCCAAAAGCCAAGCAGGGTTTTTGTTTTGTTTTTATAAATCCCTGTTTCGCACTCTCAGATAGTTGCTTCCACTAGACCAAATGGTAACTTATTTATAATAATTAATAAACATATTTCTCATTTTCTAGGGGTTTGGAGGTGCCCCAGCTTCTCTGATAAAGCCAAAACAGTAATTTATAAAACAAAACATAACTGCTTAGGCTCACAAAAGCTTCAGCTCAACACAGATTAGTTCAATAGATAGTAAATACACTTCTTCTTAGGAAATGGGGTTCTGAGAATCCAAAATCTAAAATAAAATATCTTTATAAACATTTCTGTACCTCTATGAGGATACGGTTCACACTTGCCCTATTTTCAGGGGTTCTTGGAATCAAAGGTCCATTTCCAATTATATGCATGACCTAGGGGAGCAGACACTGAGTCTTTGCTTACTGTCTCCAAGCACATGTCGGGAGACAAAACAACAGGCTCTCTAATCTCTTGGGGAAAATTAGAGTCCTGCGATAGAGGAAAACTGCCAGCCTTGGGGAAAGGATGACTCAGCCCTTTGGGCTGTGGACTATTCAATATTTTACAAGTCCTAGAGTGGGGCTTCTCAACGTTATAAGGCCAAGTGGCACATCTAGAAATTGCAGGAAGAATATCCAATCCTCACCTCCTTGGGTTATCTGGCCAGGGTTATCTTAGAACACTGAGTGAATTGGCAGCCATCTCCTAGAAAGATATTGTAATCTAGGTTAAAGAAAAATACCTGTATCAAGTAAGGTAAACTAGGTTTGCTGACTCTCAGAAGGGGTTTTTAAGTGGTAGTAATTAAGTCAAGCAGGCCAGAGTTGCCATAGGTGTCATTTAGAGGTGTGGAAAAAGAGCACCAGGTGCATCCCAGCAGTTAGGAAGGCAAAAATTGTGGGGTTAGGGAAGCAGTAGAACCATGAGAAGGTCCAGGTGATGAGTGCTACTGTGTTACAGAATATGTCGTTTGATCCCAGTTCCAAATTGTCTGAGCCCCTTATGTTTTTTCTCCCTCTTAGGAATTTGGCTCTCGGAGGTGGGCTGCTCCTGCTACTTGCAGAATCTCGTTCTGAGGGGAAGTCCATGTTTGCTGGAGTCCCTACCATGGACGATATCTCACCACGGCAGTACATGCAGCTTGGTGGGCGCTTGCTCCTGGTTCTCATGTTCATGACACTCCTGCACTTCGAACTTGGCGCCTTCACTGTGAGTGGCATCCACTATTACAAGACTTGGTTGGGTTTTCTCTGTCTGCAAAATTGGCTGGTATTCTATGGAAATAAGCACAAACTCAGTTGGGCAATTGTGTGCTACCTCACCACTGGATAGTAAATAGACCAAGCCCTTGAAATTTAAGACATTATCCTGACTAATAAAGGAAACTACTCAGTTTGGCTTTTGCTGCAGCCTTGTCACTTACCCGGGGATGGAGAATCTGCTAGACTTGACTTCTCTTCTACTCTGGGGTCTTTTTCAAACACCACTGCGCTGAATAAGCCAGCAAATGTTCAGAGAGTGCTGTTGCATCACCTTACATAACACCTTGTACACATTTTCATAATGTATTGAGGAGGTCACAACATTTGTTTTACTTGGGTGCATGCCTCATCTCTGTTGTTGATAACAAGTTGGGGACACCAGCCATTGAAGCAAAGAATGCATTAAACTGAAGCGTGGTATTTGTATTCCTCCCTAGATTTTCCAGGACATCTTTGGCATGGCGCTTATCATTTTGGTGGCCATTGGCTTCAAGACCAAGCTTGCTGCTCTTACCCTAGTCATCTGGCTTTTCATCATCAACCTGATCCAGAATGCCTTCTGGAGCGTCCCCACTTACAGGCCTCTCCACGACTTTCTCAAATATGACTTTTTCCAGACCATGTCTGTCATAGGTGGCCTGCTGCTTGTTGTGGCGTTGGGACCTGGGGGGGTTTCCATGGATGAACACAAGAAAAAGTGGTAAAGATGGACTCTAAACAGAGCTCAGTGTGTGGGCGGGAGAGGGAGGGGAGGGAGGGAAGGGGACAAAGTACAGCTTTTACAAACCTGTGTAGAATTTTCTTCTCCCTTGATTGATTCTCTTGCGGTTTATCATAGTTCACGGTTGCCTTATCAGGGTAGAAAAGCCTTTGCCTTCTATCCTGTTTGAGACATGTAAATTAAAGTCAAATTATATATATGTATGTATGTATATTGATTTACTGAACTTTTATACTTACCCTTTGAGACCCCATGGTTTTCTGGGGCACTGTGACGTATTGCCTTGTGAGAGGCCAGGATTAAAAAGTGGTTTTCTGGTAGAGTATGCAGGGGCATTCTAGATCCTTTGGCATTGCCCATTCCCTCAGGAGGAGGCAGGGCCAGCTTGTATTTTCGCTCCTGTGCTGTGCTAATGAGGCAGTCCCATCGCCAGATTTGCTCTGCCTAATGTCTAGAAATCAAAGCCTATGTGGGTTTCTAAGGTCCACAAGTGTTTGTGATTATAAAGTATTTCCGCCTCTTTTCTCTAACCTCTACACACACACACACACACACACACACACACACACACCCTGGCCTGGACTCAGGGTGTACACATGGTGCTGTTTTTGCCTCTCTCTACCAAGCATTCTTCCCTTAGAGCTGGGACTTACTGGAACAGAGGAAGCCTGAATTGCCCTGGAAGTAACACAGTGGCAGAACTTCCCAACACCTAGACATGAGCCTGAATGTTGGAAGAATCTGGAAGGGAAAGGCTGCTCTAAGGTAGGTGTGGGGAACATTTGGCCCCTCCACATGTTGCTGAACTACACCTCCCAGTATCCATGGCTACTTGTCATGTTAGCTGAGGCTGCTGGGAGGTATAGTTCAGCAGCGTCGGAAGGGCCATAGGTTCCCTACACCTGCTCTGAGGAGCAAGAGTGCCTTTCAGGATGTTCTTCAAGACAAAGTGTCCAACTTAGGGGAGGAATAGGAGAAGCAATGGATTTAAACCAAGGTGAGGAACCTGTTTGGGGCTGAGGCATTAACCCAGTCGAAAGCCCTCAAGGGCTGCATTCTGGTAGTGGGCAAGTCCAGAGCTATACACACTCAATAAAAGTTATTTCTCATGAGAAAAGAGACATGTATTTAAGTCTCAGTAACTCCACTCAAGGTTCACTTCCCATTTCCTAGATTTCTTTTGGGACAAAGTTTGTATTTAAAAAAAGGTCCTGCAAGTGTGAAAGGCAAAAAGAACTTGATAATCACACCAGAAGAATGCAACTGTCAGTACACACTGAATGAAAAGCTGCAGCCTCAAATGCAAAATGCATAGACACATAATTGCAAGGAAAGAAGTTGGAGCTTTGCTAATGCATTTTCCTCTGTTTTGAAGAGGGAGGAAAATGCAAAAGCCTTTATATTATAAGTGTTCGATCTTCATGTGACTGAAGTTTTTCTTCCTGCAGCAGATTTGCTTGCAGAAGAAGGAGCTATTGCACTCGATATCTGTTGGTGCATTTTAATATTGAAATAAACTGATTAGTCAAGTCTCTTTTCAACATTTTGTTCATATCCTGCAGTAGGTGTTCCCTGCTAACCATTGCCAGGATTTATATTTTCTCCTAATTATTGCTGTATGCAGTAGCATTATTAATATGCAAATTGCTTTACCCAGTGACATAAAGAAAAACACATTATAAGCGTAGTTTTTAAATGTTCAGTATATAAATCATACACATAAATAGTTAAAAAAAGCACCAATAAGCCTTGAGGAAAGCCAACTATGTTAACTGTCTCAGATGAAATCATTTTGTTGTCAACTTGTTAATAATACTGCTGGTCTACTGCAAACCACCTTGAGATCTACTAGAAGATCCCAGTCTTACCTTTTTGTCTGCTCCTGCCTCTGCAGTCCCATCATTTCCTTAATTAGAGAGCTGTGGGACTTTGCATTGGCTTTGAAGGGCATTTCCTCTTTATTTCCTTTGGACTGCTGTAAAAGTAGCTGTTCTGACAACTTCCTCTGAAGTACGGTAATTACAGTACCTCAGATGAACTCTTTATATTTTTTTGTCTCAGTGGAATAGGCAGCAATTCCTGCATAATGGGAGTGTTTGCTGAGAGACTGAGGTACTAAGTTCAACCAGAAAGCACTAGAGAGAGCATTTCTTAAGATGCAAGGAAGCCTGGTGGGCTGTCACTTGAACTTGCTTCTCAGTCAACACTGAACACCCTTTTGGATGCCTGACCCTTCCTGTACCACCTCTTTCAGACCCAACAGGCTTGGATCTTCAGCCTTTCCTCTCGTTCCTCTTGAGTGGGCTGGCCTGCTCCCAGCGCCAATAGTTTTCTTTTCTTGGACTTATGACACAAGCTTTCCCACATACTCTTTGCTGCTTGCAAAATCTGAAACCAGTCCTGAAGATCTGCCAACGCAAATCATGCTCTTCAGGGGCAAAGGTTTAAATAGGCAGCTACTACTGATCTTCAGTTACTGCTGCTACATGAAGTTGTTAGCAGGTTGGGGACGGCTGAAACGGATGTAACCTGGACTTTTATTAACTTGCCTGAAATCTTACCACAATTCAAAGTGGAGAAGAAAGGATGTATTTGTTTTATTTTTTAAAACCTTTGCTTGTGTCTTGTAGTGAGCAGGTGAGGATGTGTTTGTACAGTGGTGCCCCGCAAGACGAATGCCTTGCAAGACGGAAAACCCGCTAGACGAAAGGGTTTTCCGTTTTGGAGGTGCTTCGCAAAACGAATTTCCTATGGGCTTGCTTCGCAAGACGAAAATGTCTTGCGAGTTCCTGCAGGGTTTTTCCCCCCCCCCTTTTTCCCAAGCCGCTTAACAGCTGATCCGCTAAGCCGCTTAACAGCTAAGCCGCTTAACAGCTGATCCGCTAAGCCGCTTAACAGCTGATCGCTAAGCCGCTTATCAGCTAAGCCGCTAATAGCGCTAATCCGCTAATGGGCTTGCTTCGCAAGACGAAAAAACCGCAGGACGAAGAGACTCGCGGAACGGATTCTTTTCGTCTTGCGAGGCACCACTGTATTTACTTTGTTGAACAAAGGTTCCCAGGCTGTTAAGGTGGTAGTTTTAGCCTTTAAAGCCTTATATGCTTTGGGACCACAAGCCTTTGGGATGATATGAAGGTCTGCTTTTGCTTGCATCCTATAGCAATAATTCAGCAGGAATTTGCACAATATAAAAGGGGCCTGCCCGGCAGCGCAGTGAAAAAAATACCAGCCATCCTCAAAGGCCTGAGCTGCTGAGGTGTTAGAATACACACAGTGATGGGCCTGGTGGGGGCTCCCCTGTAAAGGGCAGACCGTAACAGAAGGAAAATGCCATTCCTACAGCCACCCAGAGTGGGACCTTGGATGTAGACTTGTGTTGCATGGATAGGAACACATGAGAGAAGATGGTCCTTTGGCAGGCTTCCTCAACCTCAGCCCTCTATATGTTTTGGGACTACAATTCCCATCATCCCTGACCACTGGACCTGCTAGCTAGTCATCATGGGAGTTGTAGGCCAAAAACATCTGGAGGGCCAAGGTTGAGGAAGCCTGATCTATGGTGCGTGTGTGTGGAGAGTGGGGAAGACGGAACAGCAATCCATAGGCTGAGTGCAGTCCTCGGAGGATTCCCATCCGGACTGCAGGATCGGTTCTCCTTGGCTCCACCTTGTTCCTTAGTTCCCACATGGACTGTGCAGGAAGGCACTTTTTGTTCTCCACAGACCAAAGCCAGCAGGGAAACTGCAGTTGCAGCAGTGGGTGGGAGGACCCAATCCAGATGAGGACCCTGATATGGGGGTTATGGGAGATTTAATCCCTTTATTTCCCTTCCCCAGCTTCCAAACTGAACTGGGAGCCCTGCACTTGCACTTTGCATTTGGGAAGGGGACACCCCATTTGTTCCAATGCCACATCTACAGTTCTACTTGGAATGCAGATTCAACTTGATTCAAACAAGCTCCCTCGGTTAGCTCACGCCTACATTTGTGACTTAAATCTGTTTAGCTGCAACTCAAGACCTGTTGCGTCTCGAGTTACGAAAGCAGATTGTTCCTGAGAGAAGAGAGTTGAGCAACTCAGGATCCTCTAACAATGCAGAAGGCTTTCCCAGTCCTGCTAATCTCTCCTGTCAAGTTTCTCATAACATGTTCACACACCACTGCCATCAGCAGTCTTGCACATAATTGTCACTGGAGCCGTCAGACTGGTTTGATGTACTCTTACAACACATCCCCTAGAGAAGGCCATGACCGAATATCCTCATTTTGTGTTTCCTAGAGCCAAACAGTATAGGGCAAAGTGCAAGCCATACCAGGAGATAGCCTTGAAAGATCAAATTTTATTCAAAAGTCACTCCAGCTTTTTTTTTTTTTTTTTTTTTGCTGCAGAGGGATATTTGGGATAAAAATGTTTTGAATTAATAGCACAAATTAAAGTGAGGTCCCACCTGCCCAAAATATGTAAAGCAGTAACACACACCACTTTGAACAGGCATGGCTTCTCCCAAAGCAACCTGTGAACTGTAGTTTGTTCAGGGTGCTGAGAGCTGTTAGGAAACCTAGAGCTACAATTCCCGGAATTCCCTGGGAAGAAGGATCGGCTGCCAAGCCACTCTGATAATTCTGAGCATGTCTGGAGCTGAGCCAGAAGCTGGAGTCAGGAGGACCAATTCTGGCACTTAAGGAACTCTGATTTAAAAACAGCATCATTTTTATTTTGGAGACGAGAGAACCAATATCACAAACTCGCAAAACTTGCAGTTCGTCTGGAAGCAAGCATAGGAAATTCGTTTTGGCTGAGAAAAACGGAAATTTCCAGCGAGATTTTCGTTTGAAGCATTCTTTGGCACCACTTCCTGATAAACAAGGCCTGTTCCAGGCTGGTCTACAGACACAGATAATCCACAAAAGTTCTTGGCTTCTGCACTCCTTCAGATCCTTATGCACAAAATTCTGATGTTTGGTGCACATTACTATCGGAAACCTAGTGGTCTGCATTTGCAGAATGGTCTTGTTTTTGCAGAGAAGTGTAGCAAGCAAAAAAAAAAAAAAACCACAAAAAAGCAGACGAAAAGGTGCATTTGCAGCGAAATCTGCAGCACGAAGAGGAGTGTCTTTTGTCTCAGTGCTGGCAGCCGGAGAAGCTGGCAGCACCTCGAACAAGCCCCTCGGCTCGCCTCAAATCTCTCCCGGCGGCCGGAGAGAGAAGAGCTTCCTGGACTCCATTCCCAAGTAAGAACTGGAGGGGAAAACGGATTTTGCATTTCCCAACGCGGACAGTTCCAAGGCGGGCGGCTTCGGCGGCGGAGGAGGAGGCCGAAGCTAGCGCAGGAGAGCGGCCCGCGGCCCGCTCGGAAGGAGAGCCCCCTTTCGTCCCCAGGCCGGCCTCTCGCCCTCAGCCTCCGGTACTTGGGGAGGGGACAGGCAGCCGGCCAGGCAGGCAGGCAGGCAGGCTCCTCCCCGGGAAAGAGGGCAGGATCCGGCGCCGGGCGCGCGCTGATGAGGCAGCCCGGAGGAGGCGGAGCAGGCGGCGGGAGAAGGAAGCCGGAGCGGCGGTGAGGTCGGTGGGGGGCTCGGCCGCCCGCTTCCCCCGGCGCCCTAGAGCCTCAGGGAGCGCCGGAGAAGGGCCGGGCACGGGGCGGAAGATACCATCATCATCATTATTATTATTATTATTATTATTATTCCACGCCTTTTTCTGGCTGGGACTCGAGGCGGCTTGCAGATAAGACCAGATTAAAAGCATACCTGGCACAGAAACGGGCGTGTGGGTGAAAGTGGGGGACCCCCCTCACCAGTTGGCAGTTCCCCCTTTAAGGGAGGTCCTGACAGCGCCGGCCCACCCCTGAGGCAAGGTGAGGCGACCAGGCGGCAGGATCCCCAAGGGCAGCAGATCTCCGATGGAGATCTTTATTCCCCGTTGTTTTCCCCATAGAGATCTTCCCTTGCCCCTTCCTCCCTGGCAGGGAAGGGGGCACCCTTTTGTGGTCGCCTCAAGACCTGTATCTCTGTGCATGTCTCTGCGTGGCTTTATTTCCTAACGTTTTATATACGGCTTGATGGTTTAGAAAAAGAAGGAGAAAGAGGAATCCCGGCCACCCTCGAAGCAGCATAATATGCCCGCTCAAGATGTATTTCAGTGTTTCAGCACTTTGCCAGGCCCAGGCGGCAACAGTCCGTGGTTAATAAATATTTATAAGCCCTTTCTTAAGAAAAAGAGAGAGAGGCATTTGTAATACCATGACAGGACTCTTTGGTGGTGTGTGCCCACATATAGTCTACTTTATAGCCAGTGGTTTATTTCTGAAAAAGCAATCAGCCTTGGCAAGAGAATGTGGCTTAGAAGTGCTTAGCAGAGAAAGGCACTTTGCACACACTCAGAGGCACACTGTTACTACCGGGCATGGAGGAAATGGGGTGTTAGAGAGAACAAAGAGGGTCCCCTGCCCACTTTGGGATCTGGCCCCACTCCACGCTGGCATGTGCCCCCAATAGTAGCCAGGAGGAAATGTGCCCTTTGACAGAAGCCAGGTTTCTCTAGCCCTGCTTTCAGAGGCTGTGACTTTCTGTTATTTCTGCACATTATATGGCAGAAGTTCTAGCATCAAAAGCAGTTTCTGGAGCTTGAGAGTAGGTGGCTGCTGCTTTGGGCACTCCAAAGTGTGGTGCTGCTTGTGCTTCTCCTCTCTGGGACTATCCTAGGAATAACTTTCTCCTGCTCTTCTCTTAGGCCATTCCAGCTGTTCAGCTAGACTTCTTTCATCATGGTGAGTACATGGGGTGCTTTGTAGCACATCCACAATGTTGTTTCCCCCCAAACACAGTGCTTGAACTTCAATAGGGTAAGCACAACACTTTCATGAGATGCTGGAGTTGTGTGTTTTTCAGCAGCATGTATCTAGCCTCCCATAGAGACACCAGCTCACACAAACACGCTTCTGGAGGAGGCTGACCTGACTACAAACTTATGTGTGGCCATGTGTGCTCCTGGGACGGATGCTGCTGTGTGTGTTTGTTTGTTTGTTTGGTTGGTTGGTTGGTTTTTAACCCCAAAAAAAGGCCAATTATTTTGTTTGAACAAAATATACAAAGGTGCTCACATTAATGTTTCCCACAACATCAGCCTGGAAATCCATCCTCCTGCCAAGCATCCAATGAGAGTGAATGCTTTTCTTGCCCTGTAGTCTCATCAATCTGCGACTTCTTACCAGATTTCTTAATCCCACCTCCAGTAAGTGGGCCTTTGCCAGCTGCTTTTGCCTTCAGCTCAACGAGTTTGTTTTGCTCCTACTTCTGTTTTTGCTTGAATGCTTTCTCTCCCTCATCCATTTCCTTTACTTGCTTCTTGGGCTGTTTCAAGGGTTCCTTTCTTCTTGCCGCCGTCCCATTCTGACATGATGCTGTTGCCTTGCTTGCTTCTCCCCGACCCCACAGGTGCTGCTGTTAAATGTGAACTGGTCCTTAACTGCAAGGGTAACTTGAAGCTTACGTCCTGTGGTAGCTCTCATACACTGGTCTTTTGGTCAACAAAACAGAAGTTTAAATGCAGTAATTACCAATGGGGGCTGGTTCACATTTGGCTGCAACCTCCCTGCTAGCACCTTGGGACTGCATAAGGCTGTTAGTTTGAGTATTTGGACACAATGGCACCCCTGTGTATGCCTACACACACAACACACCTCCTGCAGGCATGCTGATGGAACAGTTGGTGTTGGCCTGGCTTAGATGGCTCCTGACATTCCCAAGGTGCCTATGTGTGGACTGTCATCAAGTGAGAATTGGCCTGAACCAACAGCTGTTGCTTGAACAATGTGACTGCTTGGATAAGGCCACTGAAATGGGGCAGGTGGTGGTGGGGGTTTGCTGAAAGTGGTGGCTTAGCTATTATGATAGCTAAATGGAACCTCCATGTTAGTAGATGGGACAACTCTGTATTCCAGTTGCCGGAGGGCAGGAAGACAATGTGGTAAATCTGTTAACCTTCATGCATAACTTGCAGAACCCCATGCATCCCATAGTCATCTGGTTGGTCAGCAGGGTGCTGGTCCAAAGAGACTTCAATCTGACAAAGGAGAGGGTTCTCTTTGTGTTCTTCTGCAATGTGAGAAGAAATGAGCCAACTGCTTTGCTTATTGGAACTTTGGCCATGCTGTGACTCTTACCTGATGGCCACCTTCCCATATGTGACCCCTTGAGCTGAGCAGAAGGGGACCTGTGCTCTGGGCTAGAAGCAAGCAAGCAGGCAAAACTAGTATACAGGGTCCACTTCAAAACACCTGCATCCCCGACTCCTGCTGCTGCCAAAAAAACCCTCCTTGTATTTGCAGAGTTTTCATACACATTTAATTGATTGAGGTGTTGTTGAGCATCAGGATTCTAATGCTGTCTTTGGTTACTTATAGGGGGAAAGAAAAGGAGTCAATAAGTATTACCCACCTGATTTTGATCCAGCCAAGGTAAGAGAGCAATTGAGGGTTCCAAGGGAAGTTCAGGGTTTCAGGTTGTGTGCTGACTGTGTGCATTTTTGTTTTCTGTATTGCAAGATAAGTTTCATGGGGAGGGGGTTTGTGTACCTAGTGGTTATAGCAAGGAATCAGTTTTTGAATTGCCTGGAAGGTTTTTACTGAGCTGAAACAGGCACAAGTCTGCAAGCCAGATTTTCTGGGTGCTGTCTTCACTGAGTGGACATGCCTCCATTGAGTGGTCTTGTCCGCATGTGAGAGTGGTTCAGGATCTCACATGTTTGGGAGATCTGGCCTCACTGGCAGTCCTGTTCCCCACACCAGGTCTACTCTAGGTATGATACAACCCAATGTAATTTACTGCTCTTGCCTGCTTCATAAATCAGCATTGAGATGGTAGTAATACGTTCAGTGTAAAATGAAGAATGTATTTCTAAAAAAGCAATTAGATTTCTGCAGAATTATTTTTCTGTTGACGAATGGAAAACTTGAATAAGAACAAAGGATAAAAATAAAATGTGATAAAAGACCATACGAAAGTGATAATTAATCCTAGAACAGGCCTATTTTTTATTTTTGCTGCTGCATCACACTGTTGACTCATGTTAAGCTTGTGGTCTGCTAAGACCCCTATATCCTTTTCACATCTTATATTTGTGCATCTGGTTATTCCTGCCTAAGTGCAGGTCAGTCTAAAAAATCCTGGTTTTTCCTAGAATGGACAGTGTCATAGGGGTACATAAATTGTCATCGGACGAAGGCCGTAGAGTCATGACTGACACTTGACTTTGTATATAACAAGTTGAGCATCTTCTCTTCTCATTTTTTGCAGCATGGCTCCCTTAATAAATACCGCAACAGCCATCCGCTACGGGAAAGGGCCCGTAAACTCTCCCAGGGTATCCTCATCATCAGGTAAGGACACTTAGATGCAATCCTTAGCATGCCAGGGCACCTTGGAGTTGAGTCCTTATTACATGGTGCTCTTTGTAGGGGGGCATAGGAAACGGTCTGGGGCCTGCACATTAGGGGAGGACCAGCTCTATGCTAGCCAAGTTGCATGTGGACATCAAACAGAGCTTGCTTTCCTTCTAGCTGAAGCAGTCGGATGCCTCTGCTGCCTATAGTGAATGTCCCTTGGCTGTTCTTTCCTAGGTTTGAGATGCCTTATAATATCTGGTGTGACGGCTGCCAGAACCACATTGGCATGGGTAAGTGTGGAAGGTGGCTGGTGTTGAGGCCATCCCTTAGATACATAGACAGCTAATAGGAGCTTGAATGTGGTGAGAGGGGCTTGTTTGAAGGTAGTGGAATTTTGCGGCAGGAGCTATGTACAGCAAAGAGGAACCTTGTTTGTTGGATCTCCATTTGGTATTTCTGAAAGTCTCCTGTTTTGTCTTGCTTTTTTGCTGCTAGGTGTGACTGAGTACTTCTCACCTCTTGGGGACTAGTGCTTCAGGGTAGGTCAGGAAGAAACCTGAGAAGGAAGGGTTGCACACCAGGAAGCTAGGAGGCGTCATAAGGTCAACTGTTGCTTTTTAGAATAAGAGAAATGGGATTTTATATCTCTTGAGGTCTGTTCTCAGCACTGAGAAGATGGGAGTGATGGGTCTAATAGATAAAAGAAGGAGTTAAAAGTCCTGGAAGCTGGAACAGAAGCTGCATTCTGATTATATGCCCCTACAGCTTACACCTAGATCAGGGATGGAGAACCTGTGACCTATGTGTGGTTAGACTATGTCTAGACTGCCATCAGCCTCAGCCAGCATGGCCAATGGTCAATTATGATGAGAGTTGGACATTTGGAGTGCCACAAGCTCTCAGCTCCTAGTCTAGTAAATAAAACGGGGGTTAGGGATTCTGGAAGTCAAAACATCTGGGACACTTTCGTTGTCCTGCCATTTTGGTAATTAAGTTAAAGGTTTTTCAAAGGGTGTGGCATAAATGTTTAAAATGAATAAATCAGTCATTGTTGGTAATGATAAGATTCCAGGGTGGGGTTGAGTGATCAGGAAATTGGAGGCAGGAATGTACAAATTCTACTCTTCCCTCTGCTGGCTGCAGGTGTTCGCTACAATGCTGAGAAGAAGAAGGTTGGCAACTACTACACAACCCCCATCTACAGGTGGGTGCTGTGAGGGCTCTTGTTGTCTTTACTGGTGCTCTTGGCCAGGATGAGTTGGGCAGTGTGCGCATCAAGTGGAAGTTCAGGTCTGGCAAAGGGAAGAGGCAACTGGCTGGTGTTTAGGTAAAATCTGTACCCACGTTCCCCACCTCCACTTCCAGTGGAAGATCAAGAAAAACAGCATGCTGTGCGAACTGTCTGATTTGTGTAAGTCCACATGCTTGCTTGTGAATCGTAGAGTGGAGGGGCCTTTCCTGTAGGTCCAACCCCTGTTGGTGGAGGAAATCTAGAGTGGTTGTCTTGTTAGAAAACATCCAAGTGAGGCAGAGTCCACTACCACTGTGTAATTAGCTGCATCAACCTTTCTTCATGTGGACTTCTTTCCCATAATGCTGTTCGTCCTTGTTCCCCTCCTCTGCACCCATTCTGATTGGTCCAAGTCTGCTAGCCATGGGGCGAGACCAGAAGCTCTGTGGCACGATCCGTTTAGCTGGGTGCCCTGCTCAGTCGTCTTCTGCTTCCTGCCTGTAGCCATGAAAAAAATAAACACAACCACAGCAAGAGACTTCCTTATCTGTACCGTGGCTTCCCAAAAACCCACAAACAATAAAAATAAATTTAATAATCATAATCAGACACAATAGAATCAGCAGCTTAGCTCTGCTCAGCAGCCATTGGGATTTGGAAAGAGGCATGCTTTTCATCCTCTAAAACCTTAAGAACCAGAAAGCAGAGTTGCCTCATGTGTTGCAGGGACCAACCACCATACAGAACATGTCCCCCTACAGGGACACAAAGATTGTAGGAGAAAAGGTGGAAGGTCAGTACAGGGTTCTGTGTGACAATAAGAGGCCTTTTTTTCTGAACGTCTTCCATTCATGGCCACAACATCTGGTATCCCCCTTACCATCCCATCTTGCTGAACTTGCCTTTTAGGTTCCGTATGAAATGTCACCTTTGCCCCAACCACATTGAGATGCAGACGGACCCAGCCAACTGTGATTATGTCATCGTCAGTGGTGCCCGGCGCAAGGAAGAGCGCTGGGATGTGGAAGCGAATGAGCAGATAGTGGCCACAGGTGAGCCTAGGGAGCTATGCCCATCCTGCTGTTGGGGTGCTTGAGGATTTGTCCAGCCTGGCCAGGCCTAATGTTTGTATCTGCCTCTCAGCCCACGAGGAGAAGCAGAAGCTGGAGACCGATGCCATGTATCGGTTGGAGCATGGCTCAAAGGATCAGAGCAAGCTACAGCGAGCCCTCCCCACCCTGCAGAACATCCAAGAGGCTCAGAGCGCCTGGAAAGATGACTTTGCACTCAACAGCCGCCTTCGCCGGAAATTCAGGGTAAGCAGATGTTGAGGTGGGAGGGTTCCTCTTCGTGGCCCTAGAACAAATTTCTCCATGGCCCTGAACAAGTGAAGGCAGGGTGAGATTTCAACTGTGTTCCTAGTAATATATTTACTTAAGACTGTCAGCCGCAATACTTTAGAAGTTTAACCACGTGCCTTTCAACTAATCAATTTATTTAATTTAAATAAAAGTGCATATTGTTTCATAATAAAAAGTACCACGAAAAAGATGAATGGATTCAACCTGTGATGCAACACCCACTTACTCAGGAGTAAGCTCCATTGAACTGGGTGGGAGTTACTTCTGAGTAGACATGTATAGAATTGATCCGTAAAAAAAATTAATAGCTTGCCTACTTGCATGCTTATCTTAGTCATTTGCATTTTAGTGTGCTATCTTTATGGATATTTGGGTTTCTTTTTAAATTATTTTTAATGTAAGTGATACCAAATCCAATAAGCATAGACAGAACAAGAATTATTTAATGGAGAAATGCAATTTGTATTGTAGAATGAACTTCCATAAAGCTTCCCTGTCTGGTATCCTGGAGTTATTTTTTTATTGATTACTGACAGCCAGGCAGGAGGATATTTATACGGCTGGATTCAAGTTTGTATCCCTATTTTTTATTTATTTATTAACTAAGCTCCTCCAAGACAACTGGATGCAGTGGATTTAAAAATGTTTATTCCTGTTTTGCTAGTCCTTGGCCTGTGTTTTAGTTTTTCCCCTCCCCAACCTCCTTTCTGATGTGGATTTCTCTTTTTTGTCTCTGCTTCTCCCTTTCCTACGCATAGGAAGAAAAGAAAGTCCTGCAAGAGGAGGAGAAGAAAGATCTCGCCCTGCAGTCAAAAGCATGCCTGAGCATCCCGCTTGTGAGAGAGTCTGACGAAGACCGCCACCTGGCGGCGCTGCTCAAGTACCAGAGCCTTGGCTGTACGTGAAGCCTGAGCGGTTGAATTTTTTTGGAGGGCTGGAAGATTCAAGGAGGAAGGGTAGGGCTTCTCCAGCCTGAAGTGTGCTGTGCAAAGGCCCAACACTGTTGTTGGCAGCACAAAACAGATGGCCTCCTGTTGAAACCGGGATTCAAGGAGAAGGCTCACATTGCTGCCCCACTCGTGTCCTTGCACATCCCTTCGCCCCCAAAGCCCTTAAGAGCTCCAGGTCTTGCCGCACAAACCATCTGACTCCTTTCCTGATGGATTCTTTCACTAAGGTTTCAAAAGAAACGCCTGGCAAACCCTCACAATCAAGCTAGGTTGCTAGGCTACAGTATTCGTCATGTACTAAAACAAGAGACAGTGATGTCATGTGCATTGTATAATTTACGTTTGTTTTTCACATGTGCAGACTTTGTCTCACCTGCCATCTCCCCACAACTGCTGTAGTTGTCAGAAACCAATCCTTCCCCTGCTTTCCGGTGACTCCTAGATCCTGGTTGGAGAACCGCTGAACTTGGGCCACAATACAAAGATACTCATAACGGTGCAGGCACTGGGCTGTCAGACAGACATTATAGCTGCACCAGATTATTTTATGCTTCAAAATCCCCTGTAGCATTGGAGAGGATGCTGAGGTGCCAGCTATCCATAGCTCAGTGGTAGAGCACATGCTCAATGTGCAAGAGGTCCAAGGTTCGTTTCCCCACCCCCAGCATCTCTTAGTTAAAAAACAGGATCAAGTTGCAGTTGGTGGGAAAGACTAGATGGACCAGTAATCTGATTTGGTGTAACAGAGCTTCCGATATTCCTGTTGCAGTGCACACAGTACCATTTCCAGTTATGTAATAGTCCCCTTATAATATTCCTGTTGGCGGCAGCTTGCATGGAAATTGCTTTTCAGTGGAAAACGGCAGGTGATTTGATGTTGAAATGTTGGTTTGACAGTGTGCAATGTGGCTTTATCTGAGAGGTTAATGCAAATTGTCCCAGAGAGACAATTTTGACTTCTGGTTCCCTTTTCTGTTGTACATAAATGGGACTTTGCCAGTTTGTTCTTTCCCCAGTCAACAGGTTTCTCAAAGGAGAGGCTAGCTTACTCAGAGGGCAAATTATTCATAGAATCATAGAGTTGTAGAGTTGGAAGGAACACCAAGGGTCATCTAGTCCAACCCCCTGAAATGCAGGAATCTCAGCTAAAGCATCCATGACATTGTTATTATGCAGCATGCAATTCAGTTGGTTGTATGTATCTTGTTTTTGCTTGCTTTTTTGCAATGAGGTGCCTTAAAGGTAAAGGTAAAGGTACCCCTGCCCGTACGGGCCAGTCTTGACAGACTCTGGGTTGTCGCCATCTCACTCAGATTCCGGTCACGTGACACTTCGGGTCACGTGCCAGCGTGCAGCTGATCTGCGAGCCAAGCAACGGAATGCTGTTTACCTCACCAGTAAGGGTCCCTATTTATTACGCACCAGGGTGTTCTCGAACTGCTCGCGCTGGACCGAGCAGCGGAGGCACCCCGCCGCGGGATTCGAACCGCCACCTTAATCGAACCTAGCCTGGCTTTACCCACAGCCCCCGCTCTGATGAGGTGCCTTCTTTGTATAATCCACACCCATTTTTAACATGTTCTTTGTAAATTTTAATAATATTAATATATTATATTATTTAAAAATTAATAATAATATAAGTATATAAATTAATAAATATAATTTGTAATATAAAAACAAATAAATGGTAATGATTAACCTGTCTCTCCCTCCCATCCAGCTTTATGAAGACAAACCAGAAGCAAAAACGCAGTTGAGATCGTTTGACCGCCCATGGTTCTCATCTGCCCAGGTCTCAAGCCCCAAAGCCAATGACACCCTGAAAAAGCTGGCACTCTCGGGGAAATCCCCAGCTGGAAAGCCACCCGTAGCGATGAACGACCTGGGTGTTGTGCGTCGGAAATCCAGGGATAGGGAACGAGCTTCAGCCGAAGAGGAGAGTGAGGCTTCAGATCCCACATCATGCGTTAACACGCAGGACCAGGACAGTGCAGTGAAGAAAGTGTCCCTTGACTCTCTCACGGGGCCTGAAGTGGGTTCCCAAAAGGCTGAAGGAAGCCCTCTATCCCATTTTGCTACCTCTCTTGTTGCAGATTATTCTGACTCTGGATCTGATCCTGAAGCTGAACTGTGAACAGAATTTTGTGGCTTTGGATAAAACATGACTGGATCTGATGTACAAATTGTCACCCCCCCTCCCAAACCAACAAAAGACTGTGCAGCCTATCAGTTGAATGTCTGAATAGGTGTGTGTGTGTGTGTGTGTGTGTGTGTGTGTGTGTGTGTGTCCGTCCGCCTGCCCGCCCATGGGAGTTCCATTTTGTTGCCTTTCCTTGAGCTATTTGCATCTGTGCCCCTGGTTATTTAAGCATGACCCCCTTCCTTGTTTTGTCCCACATACCACAAAATAAACACAGCTCTCCCTATAACCCTGCCTCTTTTGTCCTGACCAAAGTCTTGACAGCTGCACACACAGAGTCATAGAATTGGAAGGGACCGCGAGGGTCATCTAGTCCAACCCCCCTTCAGTGCAGGAATCTTTTGCCCAACTTGGGGTTTGAACGCATGACCCTGAGATTAAGAATCTCATGCTCTACTATCCATAGCTGAACCCACCAACCTGGGTTTGCAGTGAAAAGGAAAGAAGCTGAAAGCAGGCATCTTTGTATGTACACACGTAAAGCATTAAAGCCTTTTGAAATCATCTATTTCTAAAACTGGGATTCCACACGTGGCACCTGTAGGCTTTGTGGCACTCCCAGACACCTCCCATTTTTCTTTGAATGATGGGTTTCTTTTCTTTTGCTCTTCAGAGGGGTTGCCTTCCTGTTATTGGGGGGGGGGGTTTGAACATTGTCAGCTTTTCTGTCAAATGGGTATTTTGGGGTGCCTGATTTTCCAAATATGCCCCAGGCCCAAAAAGATCGGGGACTCCATTAGACCCATATTTTGAAACCGGGATAGATATTTGCTGTTGGGAAGAGCATGGGCTCCCATAGCTGTGCCAGAAATGGGCACCTGGTGAAATGGGTCAAAATCCAAACCCCTTGTCCACACTTGTATGAACCCCAATCTGCCCACAAAGGTTATGTTCACATTGTTGTTGTTGTTTAGTCATTTAGTCGTGTCCAACTCTTTGTGACCCCATGGACCAGAGCATGCCAGGCCCTCCTGTCTTCCACTGCCTCCCGCAGTTTAGTCAAACTCATGCTGGTAGCTTCAAGAACACTATCCAACCATCTCATCCTCTGTCGTCCCCTTCTCCTTGTGCCCTCCATCTTTCCCAACATCAGGGTCTTTTCCAGGGAGTCTTCTTTTCTCATGAGGTGGCCAAAGTATTGGAGCCTCAGCTTCAGGATCTGTCCTTCCAGTGAGCACTCAGGGCTGATTTCCTTAAGAATGGAGAGGTTTGGTCTTCTTGCAGTCCATGGGACTTTCAAGAGTCTCCTCCAGCACCATAATTCAAAAGCATCAATTCTTCGGCGATCAGCCTTCTTTATGGTCCAGCTCTCACTTCCGTACATCACAACTGGGAAAACCATAGCATTAACTATACGGACCATTGTTGGCAAGGTGATGTCTCTGCTTTTTAAGATGTTGTCTAGGTTTGTCATTGCTTTTCTCCCAAGAAGCAGGCGTCTTTTAATTTCGCGGCTGCTGTCACCATCTGCAGTGATCATGGAGCCCAAGAAAGTAAAATCTCTCACTGCCTCCATTTCTTCCCCTTCTATTTGCCAGGAGGTGATGGGACCAGTGGCCACGATATTCATTTTTTTTATGTTGAGCTTCAAACCATATTTTGCGCTCTCCTCTTTCACCCTCATTAAAAGGTTCTTTAATGTTCACATTAGTGGCTTGAAATGCAGCAAGGCGATTTCCCCTTGTTTCATTTCAAGCCACAATTGTGTGGCGTTATTCACATCAGAGAGGGGTGGGAATGTCTTTGCAACATGCATCATCGCCTTTTCTGTTTCCCCATCCTTGCATCCTTCCTGGAACTCCTGTTCGTTATGCTGTCATCTGCACTTGCGTGTTTAACTCCACAACCCAGCTTTCTAATTGAAGCTGGTTTGAGAGAAAAACACATCAAACAATTGTATTTGTTAAGAAATCTAATCAATATGGATTGTGGCTACTAGCACTGTGTGAATGCGGCTTCAAAAATAAGTAGTGAGAGTGCACTGGATGCGGAGGAAGTAGCAATGTGAAATCATTTTTATTTGTTCAGTGGTACCTCGCAAGACGGAAAACCCGCAAGACGAAAGGGTTTTTTGTTTTTTGAGCTGCTTCACAAGACGATTTTCCCTATGGGCTTGCTTCGCAAGATGGAAACGTCTTGCAAGTTTGTTTCCTTTTTCTTAACACCGTTAATACAGTTGCGACTTGACTTCGAGGAGCAACTCATAGCACGCGGTGTGGTAGCCTTTTTTGAGGTTTTTGAAGACTTTGGTGATTTTTGAAGCTTTCCCAAAACTTTTCCGACACCGTGCTTCACAAGACGAAAAAAATCGCAAGACGACAAAACTCGCGGAACGAATTAATTTCGTCTTGCGAGGCACCACTGTTTTTACAAGTAAAGGTAAAGGGACCCCTGACCATTAGGTCCAGTCGAGGCTGACTCTGGGGTTGCGGTGCTCATCTCGCTTTATTGGCCGAGGGAGCCGGTGTACAGCTTCCGGGTCATGTGGCCAGCATGACTAAGCCACTTCTGGCGAACCAGAGCAGCGCACGGAACCGCCATTTACCTTCCCACCGGAGCGGTACCTATTTATCTACTTGCACTTTGACGTGCTTTCAAACTGCTAGGTTGGCAGGAGCAGGGACCAAGCAACGGGAGCTCACCCCGTCGCGGGGATTTGAACCGCCGGCCTTCTGATCGGTAGGCCCTAGGCTCTGTCCCACAGCGCCACCAGCATACAAAGTTATAAAAATCCAAACATAAATCCATATACGGAGATTCCTCCGAATCTCACAACTCCCCCCCGCAATGGGGTCACATATTAAACATTTAAAACTGCATATTCTTCCAACTCCTGCCAATGTTTCCAGCTGCTTACAGTGGTCTCCTAAATAACTTATAATTCCCCCCCCCATTCTTTTATGAAGCTTTTGTCCTCTTGCTTTTTGAGTTTTCCAGTCAGTTTTGTCATTTCAGCATAGTCCATCAGCTTGGTTTGCTATTCCTCTCTTGTCTTCTTTCCATATCTGGGCTAGTAGGGTGGCTGTTGTTCCATACATAAAGGAGGAAGTAGCAATGTGAATATACCCGAAGTCAAAATACAGTCATACCTCGGGTTACAGCTGCTTCAGGTTGCGTTTTTTCAGGTTATGGACTGCCAAAACCTGGAAGTACTGGAACAGGTTACTTCCGGGTTTCGGCGGTCGTGCATGCGCAGAAGTGCTAAATCGCGCATGCGCAGAAACGCCAAATCGCAACCCCCACGTGTGCAGATGCAGGTTGTGAACGCTGCGGGTTGCGAATGTGCATCCCGCACGGATCACGTTCGCAACCCGAGTGTCCACTGTATGTGCTTCCACACATAGGAATGTGAGCAGAGGCATGGCCTGATGTCAGCACAAAATGCTTCTGATTTAAATTCCTAATATTGGAGGTCAGAAACATGTACCTTTTGCTTTGTTAAAAATTGAAGAGCCATGGTGCTCTGGATTATGTAACAAGCCAAACTTCATGGTACAAAATGAGCCAACAGTCCTACAGATTCCAAACCCATAGCTTGCTGTGTCTCTTAACGTGTTTTTGATATGCATGGATACAAGATCAACATAGACAACCTGGGGGGGGGGCATCCTAGGCCTTAGCTGTGGGAGTGGCTGGCTGTGCCACAAAATCAACAATGAATACAAAGTGACTGCTATTTGAGGCTGAGTCAAAAACCACATTAAAGGTATTTATTAAAAATAGGGAATAGTTACAGGATGGAATCAAGTGGAATTTACTTCTTCCCTACCCTATCCTCAACTTTGGGGTACAGCACAACAGAAGAAAAGACCAAATCAATTTATTAAGCATAGCATTCATCAAAATTGAATCAAACCTATAAAAACAACATTAGAACCTCCCCCAACCTCTAGTTCCAATCTCTTTAAAGTTGTTAAAGTAACTCGTGCGTGGTTTTTTGGTAACGAATTTTGTTATTCCATTTTATAATGTACATAAAACAGAATTATAACAACGAAACTATGAAATAGGCACGTAGAATGAGTGCAGCTGCCCATGGGTTTAAAAAGTCCAAGAAAAGACTATCAATGTGATCAGATCAAGCATAGCTCAAGATTTGCCAGGCTTGTGACAAAAAGAAAAAAAGATCCGGAGTTTCACTTTATGAAATAATAATAATAATAATAATAATAATAATAATAATAATAATAATAATAATTAATAATAATAATATCATCGTTTGTGGCTTGAGCCAGGATCCTGCCAAAAAGCTGGCCTATTTTCGTGAAAAGAGCAGCCTGCGTTGGCCGCCTTCCCCTCGCTGCCTGCGCATGAGGAGGCGCGCGCCCTGCCGGCCTTTTCCGGGTCGCGCGCCGCTCGTGCCCTTTCGCATCCCGGCAGCTGCGCCTGCAGTTCCGGGTTCGAGTCCTCCCTCCTTCCGTCTGCCAGGGCGCGCGGAAGGGAGCCGACCACCCAAGGCAAGGCGGCCGAGAGCGATGGCTCAGGGGAAGCGCAAGTTCCAGGCGCGCAAGGCGGCCTCCGCGGGGAAGAAAGCCAAGGCGGCGGTGGCAGCGGCGGCCCGGGGGCCTCGCAAAGGAGGTAGGGCCGAGGGACGGACACAGAGGCCGCCCGGGCGCCGGCTTTGCTCGCAACTTTGCCTCCGGTTCCGGAGACTTTTGTGCGCGCTCGGAAGAATTCCGGGTGCGCGAAAAAAGAACCCCTCCTCTCCAAGCACGCGATGAGGAATAATTATTATTCTTTATTTTAAATATTTAGTCGCTTTCTCTTGCCCAAGGCAATCCAAGCGACTTAAGACCAAATTAGGAGGTTTCTTTTCCTCCCCTTATTTACTTTATTCGTGATCCACGAAGCCGGTGCCGGAGCGCCCTCCATGTTCCCATTTTACGCGCGCGCCATGCGCGTAAAAACCAGGTCGCTTCCCGCAAAGAATCCTGAGTACAGTGGTACCTCGTGTTACATACGCTTCAGGTTACAGACTCCGCTAACCCAGAAATAGTATCTGAAGATACTAAATATTTCTGGATACTAACCCAGAAATAGTATCTGAAGTGTGTATCTGAAGAAGTGTGCATGCACACGAAAGCTCATACCAAGAACTAACTTAGTTGGTCTTTAAGGTGCTACTGGAAGGAATTTTTTTTGTCCAGAAATAGTGCTTCAGGTTAAGAACTTTGCTTCAGGATGAGAACAGAAATAGTGCGGCGGCGGCGTGGCAGCAGCAGGAGGCCCCATTAGCTAAAGTGGTGCTTCGGGTTAAGAACAGTTTCAGGTTAAGAACGAACCTCCGGAAAATTAAGTTTTTAACCCGAGGTACCACTGTACTGTGGTTTGCCTCTCAGGGCTACAATGGAAATAAACTTTAGCGAACTACAGTTCCCGGGATTCTTTGCGATGGCGGAGGGGAAAGCCATGTGACTTGACTGGATAGTGGGTTCGCAGTCATAATAATAATAAATAATAAAATTTTATTTCTATCCCGCCCTTCCCAGCCGAAGCCGGGCTCAGAGCGGCTAACAACAGTAAAATGATACAACCTAAAATCATTTCATTATAAAATCAGTTCAAATCAGATTAATGGCATCCATTGGGCTAGAGTTCTGTGAGGATTGCCAAAGGGTTAGGGCGCTGGACTTTAACTAAGGAGACCCAGGTTCAAATTTTCACAGCCAAGAGAATTCACCCGCTGACCTTGGGCTGCCTCTCCACCACACAGGTTGTGATGGTAAAAGGATGTGTGCAAGAAAGAGATCACGTAGAGCTCCAGGAGCTCTCTGGAGGAAAGGTGGGGTTTAAATGAAATAAATTGGATGGGCAAATAAGGCTGCGTGGGGATTTATTTATTTAAATACATTTCTAAACCGCTTGCCATTTTTTTTAGAAAATCCCAACACAGTTTACAACATAGCAAGATACATTAAAATCATATTATTTAAAAAGCAACTGCTGCAGATGTAAGAAATACAGTTGACAGTCAGGGAAAGCCTCAATAAAGAGGTGTTGTTTTTAACAAATGTTGGAAGCACCCTACAAATGACAGCGAGGAGAGCATTCACCACCACTGAGAAGACCCTGCCATCAGGTGACACTCGGCATGTCATGGCTCTATTGACAAGGCCTCTGCTGAGTATTTAAACCAAGACCTATGCAGGGGGAAAGGAATCGTTTAGGCACCTTGGTCCCAAATTGTTCAGGGCTCTATATGTTAATAATAAAACCTTGAGCTCAACTCAGTGGCTACTTGGTGGTCAGTGCAGTTCTCTCAATATAAAGGGTAAAGGGGACCCCTCACCATTAGGTCCAGTCGTGACTGACTCTGGGGTTGCGGCTCTCATCTCACTTTATTGGCCGAGGGAGCCGGCGTACAGCTTCCAGGTTATGTGGCCAGCATGCCGCTTCTGGCGAACCAGAGCAGTGCACGGAAACGCCGGTTACCTTCCCGCTGGAGTGGTACCTATTTATCTACTTGCACTTTGACGTGCTTTCGAACTGCTAGGTTGGCAGGAGCAGGGACTGAGCAACGGGAGCTCACCTTATTGCGGGGATGCGAACCGCTGACCTTCTGATCAGCAAGTCCTAGGCTCTGTGGTTTAACCCACAGCGCCACCCGCATCCCCTTCTCAATATAGGTGTACTGTAATGTGTGAATGGGCAGACTCTCTGGCTGCAGCATTCTGTGCCTGTGGCAATTTCCAGGCGAGTCTCCAGAGTAGAGCAACAAACACACTGTCCAGTGCAGCAGCTGTGCATGATCTTTGTAACTCTCCTGAAACAGCTTCTGCATTATTATTATTATTATTATTATTATTATTATTATTATTATTATTTTACAAATTATGTACTTTAAATATTTTGAGTAGTGACAGTGGGTTACATACAAATCTAGCCCAAGAGAAGGTTGCCCATCTAGTAAGAAACAATGATATTTGGTAGGCAAATTTTTTTCTGCATATCTGTATATCCTGCACAGCTTCTGCCTAGGAGATGTAGCAGCGTGGAAGCGAAAGAGAATTTATTTCCTTTGTGTTGGGTTCCTCTCCTAGGCCGCATAATTGCTCCCAAGAAGGCTCGGGTCATCCAGCAGCAGAAGCTGAAAAAGGTGAGATGCTCCCACTCTCCTCCGTGCCAAACTGACACTCTGGAAGCAGCAACGGCAGAGACCACCTTTTGAGGCTTGTGCTATGTGGGCGCATGTTTTCAACCAACGTGCAAATCATCAATTGTCTTCAGTGGCACGGAGCACTTTTCCACCGGTTTAGCCTAAGACACAACGTGTAGCTGCTTCTGGACAGGGGTAGCCTGGCCACCATGTTCTATGCTCAAGTAGCTTCTCGGTTAGACTCCTGCAATGTATTGCATTTGGTGTTGCCCCTGGAGACAGTTTAGAAACTATAGCTAGTACAGATTCAGCTGCCGTGCTTTTAGCTGAGATGGCTCATCTGAATTTAACAAACTTCTCTGGTTCTCTGTCTGGCTCTCAGACAGAGGGCCTTCTCGGTAGTGGCGCTCGCCCTGTGAAATGCCCTCCCATCAGATGTAATAAATAAGCAACTATCCTGTTTTTAAAAGACATCTGAAGGCAGCCCTGTTTAGGGAAGTTTTTAATATTTAATGCTGTATTGTTTTTAATACTTGATTGGGAGCCTCCCAGAGTGGCTGGGGAAACTTAGCCAGATGGGCGGTGTGTGTGTGTGTGTGTATATTATTATTATTATTATTATTATTATTATTATTATTATTATTATTATTTGTTTCTGAGCCTAATGAAGGCACAAGCACTGACTTTAAGGCCCTTGGCTCTCATGGGTTTCTAAAGGAATGCCCATTCCCACACTGACCCACATCTACCAATACTTTCTGTCATGAGTGAGGTTGGTGGTGACCATGGGGAGAGCTTTATGTTTTAGACTCCAGCCAAAACCTTTTTTTTTATTCCTCCTAGGCCTTCTACGTATGTTCGAACTCACCCTACTGTTCTTTTCATTAGGATGTTTTTGATCATTGTTTCATGTGGATTGTATTGTTTGCTTTTATTTTAAACCAGCCTGGGGCCATATCTGATCAAGGGTAGTATATAAATTCCCTAAAAAAACCAGAAATACCTTATACGACCCCTTCCCATAAGCAAACTTCAATGGCACACCATAACATTGGGACATTTCAGGTGCATAGCTGCTTAGTTGTCATATAAACTTCTTTCTCTGCAGAACCTGGAGGTGGGCATCCGTAAGAAGATTGAGCACGAAGTGGTGATGAAGGCCAGCGCTAAACTACCCAAGAAACTGAGTGTGCTGAAGGCCCCCAAAGCGGACACCACCAAAGAGGCAGGCCACTCCAGCAAGTCTTAGCTATGACCTGCGTACCTGAGTGGGTGGCGGAGAGCAGCCACATACGGCTGGATGACTGTACCCATGACACCCACCTTGTAGTGTTGGATGAGCCTACAGATTAATAACGTAGCAGCATTTCGGTTGGTGGCGAAAACTTCCCTTCACACGAGAAACCGGGTGGGCTGTTCTGTGCCTAGGTGAAGAGATGGGCTTTGTTTTTCAGCTCTGTTGTATGTAATATTGGTTCAAGTCCCAGCATTTTCCCTGTTTTACATTTGGACTTGTCTTCTCGTTAACATCTTCAGTGGAAGCCATTCTTTCAAAGCTAGCCTGGACTGGGTAGAGTTTGTAGGAGCGACTGGAGCTGTTGCCCATTAGTGTTTCACCAGCACCAAATTATCAGAATCAGACACAGACTTCATGTGTTCATGTGGGTCTTCAGACATGGCATGTATAACACCTATATCACATTGGTATTTACACATGTGGGTGTCTTTGCAAACATGGGAGTCCAGTGTGTGAATGTTGGGCAGGACCCAGCAGGCTAGGATGAATCTCAACCCACTGTTTTCTATAGGGCTTGAATGTCTGCATGAGACTTGATCCACCGTGTATGAAGAAGCAGAAGTTCCCAACTGAGCTTTCAGGTTTTTAGCTGTTTCTGGAAACAAGTGTGATTTACTCTCGTGTGTTTTGTGGTTTGAGTAAAAAGGATCCCTTCTGTCATCTGTCCCCTTTCTGCTGCCTTCTGAGGGTCCATATAACACACTAGTGCTGCCCATTTCAACCTCCTCCCTTTTGCAAAACTTCTGAAATAATCTTTGTTGATTACTTTTGGAACCCAGAAGGTCCATTGGGGCTTGCTCATAGTGGCTAATTCTTCCACACGGAGATAACATAAAACCAAGGTATATGTTCTCAGATCAGGAATCCCAAATCTAAAGTAATTTTTAAAATCCTTGTTCCTGTAACTACTGCAGATGTTTGTTTATTACTATAGTATCTCCACCACATTTAATAAATATATTATCTAAAAAGTGCGTTCTTAGAGCATTTCATATTGCAGTTTTGTCAGTTGTACAGGGATGAAAGATTTACTTGGAAATGTCCCGGAGTGGAGGCGAGAAGTTATTGAACACCGAGGGCACGATCTGGCTAAACACAACCACTTTATCCTTTACTTATTTATTGCATTTATATACGGTATCCCTCCTTTTCCTCCAATGAGCTCACGGTGTGTATCTGGTGCTCCCCCTCCTCATTTTATTGCCACAGCAGCCCTGTGTCTGCAAGGCAGTGACTGACGCAAGGGCGCCAGGGAGCATTTTGGAGATGCAGTCCACGATCTGGGACCAGGCACTGTTCTTTGGATGAGGGGCAGGATACTTGCAACCACAAATTTTAAAATTTGCCACCTAGACTAGGCAAAATGTGTGGACTCCTTATGGCAACTTGCCAGTGTGGTGGCAGTGGTTAAGAGCGGTAGTCTCGTAATCTGGGGAACCGGGTTCATGTCTCCGCTCCTCCACATGCAGCTGCTGGGTGACCTTGGGCCAGTCACACTTCTTTTAAGTCTCTCAGCCCCACTCACCTCACAGAGTGTTTGTTGGGGGGGAGGAAGGGAAAGGAGAATGTTAGCCGCTTTGAGACTCCTGAAGGGGAGTGAAAGGCGGGATATCAAATCCAAGCTCTTCTTCTTCTTCTTCTTTATTAAATGTGCTAAAATGTAAAATGCATATTTAAAAGATCTAATCAGAAAACAATTGGGAATTCTGAAGTGTATAACAAGAGAAGCTAGATTCTGCAGCATGTATAAACTATGCATACTAAGCAAATTTGCATGGTTTCTCTTATTTTGAATAATTTATTCTGCAGTTTTTGCATAATTTATTTTGGTTGTGCGGGTCTTTTAGGATAGCCAAGGAACTGTGCAGGGCACTTAAACTAGGCTTGCCATATTTCAAAAAGTAAAAACCAGGACACCCTGAAAGTTGTTGAGCGTTTATAAAAAACACAAACAAACTTGACTTGCCTAAGATCCAGGAAAAGACGCCACATTTCCCCCCAGATGTCAATTCTGCCTTTCAAATCCCAGTAACGTCCAGGAAAATCTGGACGTATAGCAGCCCTAACTTAAATCCCACTCCCAACCAGTAGAAATTTGACATAGCATCTTCTTTGGGCTTCTGATATTTCTGCAGATATTGCTTGCTTACTTTGAAAGATAATTTATTTTTTATTATGTGTTCCATTGTTAGCTGCCCAGAGAATCCTGTTGAGGGGCAAGATTATGCACTATAAATATATTGGCAGTCAGGTTGAGATTGTCGGGAAGTGGACTTCTGCACCTAACACCCCATCCAGTGGATTATCGGTAAAGGTAAAGGTACCCCTGACCTGCTAGGTGGGCAGGAGCTGGGACCAAACAATGGGAGCTCACCCTGTCGCGGGGATTCGGACCTTCTGACCAGCAAGCCCTAGGCTCTGTGGCTTAGACCACAGCACTACCGGTCCCTTTTGAATTATCTGCACTCCTGTTCAATTAAGGCACACGCACAAACACCAAATGTAATGACTAAAAGAGCATTAACAAGACAGAGGAGGGGATTACTGAACGCGGAAGGAAATGCCACACAACAAAAGCCAGCTTTTATAGAGACATAGTCCACATGTTGACAACAATCTCAACCGTGCTTGTAATGGTGTTGGGGGGGGTGTAGGGTACACCTGAGCAGATTCAATGGGCCTTCACCTCTCAAGCTGTACAACATCTCATCTGAACTGGTCCTTTGGTGACAAATGGACCTTGGGAGAGGAAAGAACAGTAAGAGCAATACAATATGATGGGGGCTTTATCCTCACTTTTGACTGAGAGGCCAAAAGCAAGAGTGTGGGAAACTCCCATTTGGACATGCTCCAAGCTCAGTGCTCCCATTTCAACACTGCCCTGCCTCCTCTGGGGAAGCCCTGGCCTGATCAAATCCCATCAAGGAGAGAGGAAGTATCTAAGGTAAAAGCCTTTTCCCTGAGATTGAGGGATGACCCTCTTTTCTCTTTCTTTCTTTCTTTCTTTCTTTCTTTCTTTCTTTCTTTCTTTCTTTCTTTCTTTTCTTTCTCTCTCTCTCTCTCTCTCTCTCTCTCTTTTGAGGCTCATAAGTCTAGTAAACAGCTGCAAGGATTTTTTAAAAGAAAGACTTGAGACTTCAAAAGGGATCTAGTGGCATCGTTTCTGGAGGTATGCAGTGGTAACTGAATGTTGGCTTTCCTCTGAGCCTTTAAATCATCCAGTATTCTATTATTACATCCATCAAAACTTATTTACACTGTAATTTTTCTTTCTTTTTTAAATTTATTTTTATTAAAGATTTTCTTGATTTACAAAGGTATGTGCAATGTCTCTCTTATTGTTTTGTGTGTGTGTAACTTTTTTTTTACAAATTGGTTTCATTTGTTCAGACATTAGGAAGAAAAGGGGGAAAGAGGGGGAGGGGGGAACGATGGGTGGGGGTGGGGTGGGGTGGCAATGTTTCTATTTTACTTAATATATGTGGGGTTTTGTGTCAGCGTTGCTTGTGCAGGTTCTTTACACTGTTGAATTTATCTTAATGCTGCCAACATTTTCAAGTGTACTCAATTTCCCCCCATATATTCAATAAACATTTTCCAATCTTCTTTAAACGCATGTTCTTCTTGTTCTCTTATTCTATATGTTAGGTCCGCAAGTTGTGCATATTCCATCAGTTTAAGTTGCCATTCTTCTTTAGTTGGGACCTCGCTCATTTTCCATTTTTGGGCTAAGAAAACAGGGGCCGCTGCAGTAGCATACATAAATAATTTTTTTGAACACCTAGGAATTTCTATCTGAATTATCCCCAACCCAGAGGATTCTGGTTTTTTTGGGAAAGTACTTTTAAACACTTTTTTCAATTCATTATGAATTATTTCCCAATACTCTTTTACCCCTTTACAGGTCCACCACATATGAAAGAACATACCCTCAGCCTCATTGCATCTCCAGCACTTACTGATTCAGTCTTATACATCTTGGCAAGTCTAAAGGGACCCCTGACCATTAGGTCCAGTCGTGACTGACTCTGGGGTTGCGGCGCTCATCTCACTTTATTGGCCGAGGGAGCCGGCGTACAGCTTCCGGGTCATGTGGCCAGCATGACTAAGCCGCTTCTGGCGAACCAGAGCAGCGCACGGAAACTCCGTTTACCTTCCCGCCAGTAGAAGGTATCTACTTGCACTTTGACGTGCTTTCGAACTGCTATGTTGGCAGGAGCAGGGACCGAGCAACGGGAGCTCACCCCATCGCAGGGATTCAAACCGCCGACCTTCTGATCGGCAAGTCCTAGGCTCTGTGGTTTAACCCACAGCGCCACCCGCGTCCCTACTGAATGGTTTAGTTTAAATTGAGCATAAACATAAACTGAATGGTTTAGTTTATGTAAAATATGCAGGGATTTATGTTATACAAAATGAACCATGGAAAGTGAAGAAGGGAAGTCATTGATATTTTAAGATTATTTAAATGAATATTCTAAAATGTAAAACGGGAAATTTAATGAGAGAGAGAGGGAGAGGAACTGAGCATGGAACCTGCAGGCATAGCATTTACACTCCCAGTGAGCTATAATGCGTCACACAAGTGCAGGAGTTCAGGAGGAGTAAGAATTAATTGTTTCTCATAAACCTCACCCGATGTGCTTCTGCATGAGTCACTGTTTGGGATATTCCCTCCTATCCCTGATTGGACTGAGGCAGAGGCAGAACAGGGAACCTTCTCTGAACGCAGGTAATTAAGAAATTTCTCTTGTGGTGTGTATGCAGAGACCAGGCAGAATTACCCATCTTGAGCATGGGCTCAGTGGAAGGAGCCAAGGTCAGAGCACTGTGTCATCCAGTGTCACAGTGGACAGCCTCCTCTGTGAATGGCTACTTTGGCTCACAGGGGCTTTGAGTCTGTTTTCTCTCTTCTTGCGTTCCTGTGTGATCATGTGGCACACAGTTTGGAAATTACTCCCCTTTAGCTGTGACTGGGACACGGGTGGCGCTGTGGGTAAAAGCCTCAGTGCCTAGGGCTTGCCGATCGAAAGGTCGGCGGTTCGAATCCCCGCGGCGGGGTGCGCTCCTGTTGTTCGGTCCCAGCGCCTGCCAACCTAGGAGTTCGAAAGCATGTCAAAGTGCAAGTAGATAAATAGGGACCGCTTACTAGCGGGAAGGTAAACGGCGTTTCCATGTGCTGCTATGGCTTGCCAGAGCAGCGATGTCACACTGGCCACGTAACCCAGAAGTGTCTCCGGACAGCGCTGGCCCCCGGCCTCTTGAGTGAGATGGGCGCACAACCCTAGAGTCTGTCAAGACTGGCCCGTATGGGCAGGGGTACCTTTACCTTTACCTTTTTAGCTGTGACTGACAATTGGGAGGCTTTCCTCTATGGTGACCAGGAGAGGTCACTGTTGGAGTCAGAATAGTAGTTTACAAAGATCATAGAATTGCAGAACTGGAATGGACCCCAGCGGTCATCTGGTCCAAGCTCTGGCAATGCAGAAATCACAGCTAAAGAATCCCTGACAGATGTCCGTCCAACCTCTGTTTAAAAACCTCCAATGAAGGAGAGCGCACCAGCTCCTGAAGGAATCCATTCCACTGTCAAACAACTCCTACTGTCAGATAGTTATTCCTAATGTCAGAATGTTTTCCCTGAATCTCCTTTCTTATAATTTGAATCCATTGGTTCAGGTCGTACTCTCTGGCACAGCCAAAAACAAGCTTGCTCCATCTTCCTTTTTTAAAAAAATAAAAATATATTATTCTTTATTGATTAAAAATTTACATATCTATACACACATTGTATGCCAAGCTTCCTCAACCTCGGCCCTCCAGATGTTTTGAGACGACAATTCCCATCATCCCTGACCACTGGTCCTGCTAGCTAGGGATCATGGGAATTGTAGGCCAAAAACATCTGGAGGGCATCTGGAGATGTTTGGGGAAGCCTGTTGTATGCTATCTCTTTACATATGAAGAAAAAGGAA